AGTTGCTTGAAAGAAAGTGTTACTTGTTCATTCTTTTCATTCACATAAAGTGGTAGAATAGTTTATAATCTATTGGATCACAGGACAGAAAGAGGCAGTTTTATTGCCGTGAATGAATACGATAGCAAGTCGTTGGTCATTTATTGCTGGGATAGTAGCTTGGAAGAAAGAGTATCGTGCTATAGTAGCTTACAATGTCATTGGATCAATTGAAGAGAAAGAAGCAATTTCACAGCTGTAAACAAACTCGATAGCATTGATAAGTTTATTGCCAAGAAAGTGCTTTGAAAGAAAGAGTGTTGTATGTTAATTATTATTTTCACGTGCACAAAGTGGTAAAGTGGTTTATAAAGTAATCGATTGGATTAGCGGATTAGAAGAAAGCAACTTGATTGCCATAAAGCCACTTTATAGTAGTGTTATCGATTAGTTATTGGTAAAGAATTTATGGAAGACAGCGCGTTATGATCATCATTTCCAGACATGCGAATACGTATGTCGTATTGTGATAGAAATGATTGTTATATATAATCTGTTCCTCTAGCTCAGCGGGGTGGGAATAAGCTTTAGGTTCTAAAAGAAGCCATTTCGTATTCATCAATGGACTCGATAGCAGCGTTATGGATCCTATACGCTCATTAACAAGGATGTAATTAAAAAGAGAGCGTGAGTTTGATGATCACCATTTCTATCCATACGCTATAATCTACATAAACTACAACATGGCAGGAAACCAATTTCATTTCCATACTTGATAACGGTCTTCTATATTATGTATTGGCTAATAAGCGATTGAAGAAGGGGCATATAAATTATACATATACGGATAGAATTTATAATCATAAACTGAAGTATGACGCCTTGTAATAGAGGAAGAAGTCAATTTCATAACAGTCTTATGGATTGTTTACTGGCAAAGAAGAGATGGATGAAGGAGTATGGTGGATTCTATCATGACTATTTCTATACACATCTAGTAGTATAAGTTATCGTTCTAATGTGTAGTAAGAAAGAAATTCTCTTTCCGTAAATAGACTCGATAACTACTTTTGGATTATTTATTGGTAAGACAGGGGATGAACAAGGAGCATAAATGATACAGTAGGATTTTCTGACACATTCAGAGATGAAATTTACAGTTCTACATACGCATAAAATACAACGTAGGAAGGAAGTAATTTCATTTCTGTAAATAAACTCGCCAACAGTCTAATGAATTATTAAAAGAAGCATTAGTGATCTAGTATGATGATCCTAGATTGACAAGGACATGGTCGATAAAGAAGCATTAATTATACTGTATAGTGATCATTTCCGTACACGTCTAATGACGGAATTGATAGTTCTACGTGTAAATTCCAATGTAGGGAAAGCGCAATTTCATTTCCGTAAATGAACTCGATAACGGTTTATGGATCATGGATTGGTAAGGAAGTGATTGAAGAAAGAATATACTCATTATTTCGTAAGGTAGTTTAGCGAGGCCAAGATGTAGAATGGGTTCTATCATCTGGGATGAAATGGGTTAACAGTAGCAATCAACCATTTTGAATATTATTTTCGTCGATGGGGTGAGAAAATATTCTTGATATCATCAAAGAGCTCCAAGAAGGCACGCTGAGATCATGATGGACTTGTAGTGGTATAAATTACTGCTAGAACATCATTGTCAGTGGCATATGGTTTTTATTGACGTTAGCGATGAATTATACCTTGATAGGCTTTAATGCCAGCAATTGATATTAATAAGAACAACTGCAGTTTATTGACCAAGTTGTGAGTCATCTGTCCACTGTGCTAGTAAAAAAGTTGTCAATAATCATCTATTCATTTGGATCGTTTTGCTTGGCATTATTTATGCAAATAAAATTGGATACAACAATACAATTAGAAGAGTAGAAAAATGGATAATACCTTTGTTAGTTTTATGCATTAACATTATAATAAGGATATTACCCTAATGTTATTTTACTGAGTTAAAAAAGAGCAGGAAAAAAATAACTGTATTCTTTTCTTTTAATCTGAACGCCCTTGTTATCGTAATAACTTTGATTGTCTTCTTCACCTACTGTTAGCCAACACTAATATATAATTAATGGTAGTATAACGACTAAATACTTTTCAATCACTTGCGTTAGGCTACTCTAGCGTATTAAAGAAAGGAAGAAAAGGAGAAAAAAAGACTTCAAAGAAAAATTAACAGTGGAAAAGATAGTCGTACGCCAAGGGTTTACCGGTCGTCCGTTTTGCCCCATCTCGCTTGTCTTGAATTCTTCAATTTTTCTGCTTGAACATTTTATACAATATTCAATATTACATGTAAGTAAGAAAAATACTTTAAGTACTATCCTTTTGCGTTCTATCATAGCGATAGATAACCGTTAAATAACCTTTTCTCTTAAAGTCTCTGGCCAAAGTTTTCCTAACGATAAAATGAGTTCTTATTCACTTGACAACATCGATAGGCAGTCAATTATCCTACGCTATCCCTGATATACATTAATCGATGTCACACTTATAGCCTATCCCGTTTCCGCTACCATAGCCTTAATGGGATAGCGATATAGAATTATTTTACTTTAAAGACTGCAACAATCTCAGTCAGCAAAACTAGTCATATTGTCTACCTAAAAAAATCTTGCTAGAATAACGGTAGTCATTTTATAACTTTATTATTATCGACTTTATCACCATCATTTATCATTGAATTTTTCGCTCGATAAATGTCTCCCGTTTCTATTTTGAAACATTCTAATTGTGATTTTCATCGTGGAAATCGATAGCTTCAACAGTCATTAAAATCCCATAAAGAACTTGAAAACCGCTATACTATCAGTCTACGTGACGAAGTGGCCATGAACAATCGGTAGTTGTTAAAGGCTCAGCACTTTTTCTTTGATGTTGGCCGTTTTGATGTAATTTTGTTTGGAGTTCTAACCATGTTGGCAAATACGATAGGCCTTATATCAATGCTAATCGACCGACAGGGCATCTTTCTTTTTTTGTATTTTATGGTATCGATCATCATACCTTTCCCAATTGAATCACCCCCAACTAAATTAACACCCAATATCGTCAACATAAAGTATCGTTAGCAAAAGTTGTTGTCCATCTAAAGTAATTTATTTTCATTGAAAAAAATATTTAAATCTATTGCCAAATGTCATTCTTTGGGTATAGGTTAACATCGATACATTTTAGACTAACCGAAAATTTTAGTAGATAGATCAATGAAAATAACCTTTGCTGTTATTTAATCTACATTAGGATAGTATCAAAATGATAAAACTATCATCAAATTCGTTACAGTATCAATCTGGTTATTGGCGAAGACCAACGCTAAACTACAGCCATCTCTTTCGTATTGCTAAATGTTATTCACTAATTGAATTACAAAATTGTTCTCGTAAAATTCCAAGAATTTCAATGACATCTTATGCACAGCCAATCAATCGGTTAGCATTATTTCATGCCTAATGGATCGACTAAATAAAGTATAAGTTACACCCTGTTTCAATGTTATAGCGTTTAAAAACCTTTTACCACGAGAGAGAGAGAAAGCGAATGAAAGAAAAATTGACTACTACTGTACTCTCTGTTCAACAATGATTCTTGTCCGTTTCTCTTACCCGATTGCTATCTGATGAAGAGGAAATAAGCTACAATTAATCCTATTTGAAATGCTTCTTGTAGTCTTGTGATAGTTGGGTCGAATGTCAAATACAGTAAACGCCGTTGATGATTAATTTATCCTGATTTACGTTAAAATAGTAGGGAAGAAAAGCAAAAGACATTGAAAACTTTATATGGAAAAATACCCTTGATAATTCAATTTGTTTTGGATAGCTAAATCTATTCAAGTCAGATAATCATTATTCAGTCATACAAAATTGAATAGAACAACTCGATTTAGGCCATGTTATGTCGTAATTGTAGGTAAAGTTCAGTAGAATTAAAGATATTTATTCTTTTTATTTCCTTTCTTTCATTTCTTGTATTAGAGAATCAGCAGAATTACTAGTTTTTGTTTTGATTTTTATTGTTCAACCAGATCAAACATTAATGACCTTGTTCTTTTTCCAATGAATTATCCTACTCTAACTATAGCATTTTTCTTCCCTTTTCTATTCTATACATGACTTCAATAATGTAGTTAAAAAATATCTGTAGAATTGCTGCTATTATTTCTCTGTGTACATACTAGTACAGTTGTGATATATACCGATCACGAAATTCCCAATTTTAGAAAAATTAGGGCTTTATTGAATCGTATACAAAGATTAACTACACACAGCTCTACTCTAGCCGAATACTACTACTAAAGACTTCTACAACGAACGAATAGAATAATCGAAAGTTGCATGCTTTTATACTTTTCGTAACATTGGCAGCTACAATCCGTATGGCAACCTTTTACCTTATTTTACACATGGTTAAATTATTCTTAGTAACACTATTCTACTGCGGACTATCATTAATTTGATATGGATACGAATACAGTATTTATGTAGACATTATTCACACCGACCAAAGTATAATAAATTAACCATATCCTAATATATGATTTACGATTCTATTTTTACCTAGAACCTTATTAATAACTCAACACCTTACTGTATATAGTCATTTGTACTCTAGCATAGAGTTTATACTACTACAGTCTATAGTTATGGCTACCAAATATCTCTTAGGATAAATATCTACCGTATATTATACTAAACATGGCTAACAGTCTACAATCACAATACTAAGTTACATTACAACAGTATAACTGTGACTGATTGGCTCTATTTTTTATTTCTTCAATTTTTGAGTAGATTGCAGTAGATCTTACGTTATGATCGCTTGGATTTAGCAAGAATGACAAAGTGGTAGTAACCATGAATTAAATTGAATCCTTCAGCTTGTCCATTTCATAAACGACGTATGTGAAAGGATAATTATTCAATTTTAAACTTATTCTTACCGAGATCATCAAAGCATCAAGCCAAACAGTCGTCATGACCAAGATTAGTAAGAGTAAATTGGTTATCCTATTATCGATTGGCATTTTATATTTAATAGTACTCTACACGCGAGAATTTAATCGAGCTCAAGATCTAATTTCAATGCCTTATTGTCAATGCCATGAAGGAAACGTTCAAGAAGTTAATACAAGAGGCAATTTATGCTTGTATCGTTGGGAAAGTAGCGATAACTGTCTTAATCATATAGGCGATTTAAGAAAACTATCGACTTTCCCTCATAATCCAACCGTTTGTCAAGCCATTGATCAATTCCAATCGCAATTTGATGGCGGTAGTCATGGCCAAAGAATTTTCGGCTATATCCATCCTGAAGTGACATCCTATTATCAATTTGCTATCGTTGCTGATGATGGTGCTGAGCTATGGCTTAGTCACGATACTAATCCTGATAATGCTAAAAAAATTGCTCAAGTCGACTATCGATTATTCCAATCTAAGCAAAATAAGCAACAACATCAACAAATTTCCAATTTTATCCGTTTAGATAGTAGAAGAAAATATTGGATCGAAGCTATACATACACGTGCCACTGGTCGAGGATTTATCAAGGTCGGTTGGAAAATGTCTCGAACTGATCCATCCAATACATATCATACTATATCGCGACGATCTATCTCATTACCTTCCAATTATATCAAAATTTCACGCCATCATAGTCCAACAGTCAATTCAACTTCTCCTCGAACACCAACGATTGCAATTAAGTCGCTAGAACAACTTGCTAAATTCAATCAAAGTTTCCATTTATTACCACGATTAAATCGACGTTATCTGGATGAAGCATTAAAATTCTGCTCTTATGGTCGTCCAAGCTATGTAGTACCACCTGAACGGAGTGTTAACGTAGTGAACATTATGTATTATTTATCCACTATTCAGCATCAGATCTATGGAAGATTTAATCCTGTCGCCAGTAGAAATGATGTCAGCAATTCCATTCATGAATTCGAGAAAGAAGAAGCTTACCGCATAGTTGAATCACTTCTATATCATATTAATAAAAAAAATAAAGGGAAATTTGAATTAGTTCATGTCCATGGTGTTGAACAGAAATCAGATCGTGCGCGTGGAAGTCGTTATCTAGTCGATATTATCATTAAAGAAAAATTTAGAAAGCCGCTCTATCGCATCTCGGAATATTTATATAAATATCGTAGTACAGATAAAATATGTAATCTTGTCGATTTACAGTGGAATAACAAAGTTCACGTTTATATTGTTATTATGATTGCCAATGAAAATATTAATGCATTTCGATTTTTTTTAAGGCAACTTGAACGTTATTATAACCATACTCATGACGACCAATTTACATTAATGGTTGTTGGTTCATCGAAAGCTAGTGTACAATTACAAACTCAGTTATACGATAGCAGTCTTAAAAGGTATCAATTTGTGGAAATAAGCCTTGAAAGATTATTGTATGCTAGGAGATCTGCTTTCAATACTGTACTATCATCCATTCGTAATGGCAACTCAATTATACTGCAATATGATAACTTACATTTAAATTTCCCCTTGGATTTAATGGAAAATGTTAGAAAGAGATGTTTCCCTGGTAAGATGGCTTATATGCCAATTTCATTTCGATTTCAATGTGGCGCTAAGGATCAAAATTTAAGTGGTTACTGGCAAGGCCATCATTTCAATTTAGCTGCATATTACTTATCCGATTATAAGAAATTAAACCAAAGTGAAAAAGCTGATCGATTCCATTTGCAAGGAGAAGACGCCCAATTGGCCATAAAATTATTAATGAAACAATTAGAAATTGAACGATTACATTATCCTGGTTTATATCAATTTAATGATCAGCAAATAACGTTGTTGAAAAAGCAATTATTATTCTGATGTAGTATTTTTAAATATTTTCCTTTGTATATTTTCTATTGATAATTAATAATAGGGATACCTAATGATCCATTAGACCTTATTACCAATTTTCATATCCCCGAATTTTATTGCAATCTCTCGACATCACCTATAGATTTGTGATATTTCTGTTATATATTTGCTTCGATGAATTTAATGATCAGATTATCTATTTCGGAGTGTATAAATTTCCACCGCAATGGACAGTGATTATTATATTATAATTATATATGCAGTAGAATTAGTTACCTCTGTTCTACAGGTGTATTCGTAATATCGGTCAATCGATTCAGCAAATTCTAGATAAAACTCACAACTGTCTTATGAATTTTAATCAGTACAATCTTTCTATGAATATATAAAAGAGTTTTATCATTCTTTTCACGTTTTTTACTTTCTATAGAGATACAGATTGAGAACTATGTATTCGAATGTCTGAGTAACGTATGTAAACTAAAACTATAGTATAGAATTAACTATATGCAGACGTATCTTATGGATTCTTCAGAGGACTGTCTTATTAAAAAACAAATAATGATTTATGTTGCGATGTGATAAGTTATTTATGGTTCGAATTTTAATCAGACGATATATTCAATTTATTGACTTTCTTAGGCACAAATGTGCGTTAAGTTTAGTAAATTTATTGCATGCATCTTATAAATAATTCTTGACTATTCACTGATAAAATATCACTCTGTTTGATCACTAGAGAGACGATACAATTTAGTAAAATCGTACTGCAGACACGCAGTTGCAGACTTTACGAGACTAGCCTTAAATATTCCAACACACATTGATTAAATAATATGAATATATATACTACCTATCTCACGTTTATTTAATTACGTGCCATAGTGTCATTAAAGGTACAAGATATATTGCAAAATTCAAAAATATACGCATAGAGAGAGATTAATAGAGCAGATATAAAACCATTAACACATATTTACGCACATACACGAGCAAAATTATTTTATTTATTTAGTAAGGGAAATTGCATAGTACAGTATGTAAGCCCTCAATAGCCACGTATTAGTATTTGCAACAAGGAAAAGTAATGTGTACATACAAGTGAAATACACATACGTATAAAGTAGTTTCGGTATTATACCTATGCATAGTTACACAAGGAATTAAATTAGTTAGCATTAGTTAAGAGTAAGAGTAGCACAACATACATCAATCATGAAAGCAGTCTACCATATCAATTTTTACATCTAACAGGTGATATCAAAATTAAAGTAGATAAGTCCGTTCCAATAATGTCTAAAATTGAAAGAACTGTTTACAGTCGTGCTTTCATGATGTTATAGAAATGATAATGTTAATTTTGTTATCAAAACGATGAATGAAAGTAGATGTAACTATTTCGGATCAGATATCATGATAAAAAGACACAATATTCAACAAGAAATGTTTTATTGTACAGACAATCAAAAACTTTGACATGTAGATTATTGTAGTATACATACGTACACATTTAAAATAATTCACCATACCACTTACATAAAATCAATGAAGAATAAGAGCTAAATTCGCTTTACAGTTGAATATTTCATATATTTCAATATCTATAAGCATCCAAAAATTAAATCATGTAGGCTAAGGTAATGTGGAACATTTGTTGGATATCGCTCTGCAGCGCAATGTTCACAAGTGGTCGCTTTAAAATTCAGTTTGGATTTGTAAAATTTTTTTCGCTTGTTGTAATTAACTCATGGGTATTACATCTCATGGGCAAAAATGTGAATCAAAACTTTTATAGCGTAACACCATACAAAAACGCCAATCCGCACTATTGACGATTATAATTAAATAATTAATTAATCGAAGCACTGATGATTAAGTACTATATTAATCTGTACTTATCGTGAAATTTAAAATGGTTTGTTGTAAAATAAGCATTACACTCTTTAATGAATTAATTAATAAGCGATATAGTTGGTTTTATGTATTTTCACTAACAAGTATAAAAGGTGTTACTTGAACAGTACTAGAGTACTACAAATAGTAAGTCGTATATTGTAACACCAGAATAAATTACAACAGTCACAACGTTGTAATAGAACGAAGTAGACAATTCACCTAAATTAGGCTATTTTCAGTCAGTATTCATATCATTACTTAACGAGTCAATCGGAAGTTTAAACGCGAATTGATATACTGACAATGCAATAAAATGAGTAGCAATTGATAATTAATCGTTACAGTACAAGATGATTTTTCTACTGTTTATTATTATTTTTTTCCGTATTGACTTGATCACTTAGTTTTAGCAAAGCACCAACAGCTCCAAAGTAACCCTTTAAGAAAAACGTAATTATAACATTCTTTCATGAATAGCAAAATAACATTGTAAAGTTTTTTTACCTCATGTTCCAAGAATAGAGCTTTCATCGTTCCTTGTGACCAATAATTTAGAGCATGGGCCAACATTTTCATGGCTATATCATTTGTACGCAAGAAATTGCCTACAAATACGATTCTTTGAATTTTCTGTAAAAGTAATAAGAGAAATTGGATGGTAAGTGTAAAAGCGATTATGGGGATAAAGAGTTAAAAGATTATTTTAAATAAAGCTATTAAGGTGAGATTAACCTGGGCATGTGCTGTCATCATAGCAATTGAGCCAATGTTGTTTGTGATTGTGACTAAGGCTGCTCGAGCTAAGTCGCTCTTAGACATTTGCTTTCGTTTATTTTCATGCATCATATGGCCGAAACTGATATAGCAAAATTTTAGTGTCACTAAAGTAACATGATACTGTAAATGGTATTCTTTAACATTACTGCAGTATTAAACAGCTTGTTTGTTTACCTAGCAGCAACGGTACTTCCTGGCAAGTTAAATTTGTCATAGCTACCGCCATAGATATCGCGAACTAGTTTATCTACTTTCGTGCTATCACCATTTTCGGCCATTCGTAGTGCCTCTTCGAAAGTTTCACAACCAGTAAGTAAACAACACAAACCCAAGAAGGTTCCTCCTCCGATACTTTAGTAAATTGGAATATAGGTTAATCACGAAATAGTAATGCATCTTAAAATTAAGAAAGTTATAAAGTTACCTTGAACCAGTAACTCTATAGTATTCATCAGGAGATTGAACTGCCAATATGCTAACACCCGAGCCGAAATTGACAACAATGTATGGATAAGGATCGCCAAAATCGTACGGTACTTTACGTGCATTGGGACTACTTCCATCTGACGTTACTCCTTCCCAGAAGTAGCATTCTGATAATGGATTATGCGCATAAATGTAATGAATTCCTTTAATTAGGCATTCAAGTTCATCATACTTTCGCAACTTCATTCCAAGTATCTAATAGTAAAAGAGATTTTTACATACACCAATGAATAACAACCATCAAGAATTAAGAGATTTTTAATGCATAGCGGTCAACTATTCACAAAGAACTAAAATACAATTCATTTCATCCAATTCCAATACCTCTTTACAGTTGCCTTCGTATTTGTATGCACCACCTCCAGTAGCACAAACAACGTCTGATAGATCTGGAAGTCGAAAAGTTTTGGCAAATTCGAAGCATTCGTCCATTCTACTAGTGAGAAAGTGAATAAAATGGAGTGTTCCAGATTGGCCGTGGAATTGCTGATCGTGCATTTCTAATCGTTGGTCACGAATCCCATTGTCACCTAGGTAATGATTGGATAAAACGTAGTTTGCAAGCATTTCGAAGTTATCGTCAGCATCACTGTTATCGGAATCGCTGCTGAGATTCCTGGTTAAGTCGTGCTTGGTTACTATCCTCTTTTTTTTCTCCGCACCGTCCGCTTTACTATTTGGTTCAAAAAATACAACCTTAGCGAGAGATCCTCCAATATCCATGCCAAATAAGTATGGTGCTGCATATTGGAGAAGGTAAAATTGTTGGTTAATATGAGTAACTACATGGTGCCTTAGTTGTTATCCACTATTTAAAACCATCGCTACGAATATGACAATGATTGTGAACATTTTACATTAACTTAATCTATATAATAAGCATTATTCTATATATCCTAGACTTAAGCGCTTGTCAGTGTCTATGTACGTAGACGTGTCTTTGAATAAATATTGAATAATTGAGTAGTGTGCTATATATACTATATGGAATGATGCAAACGCTAAATAAATTGATATCACATGACTTGTCACAACTTGCAATTCTATATACATATTATAAATAATAGTAGATTCATTTTATCTGCAATCATAGTACTGTACTGTACAGTATAATTTAGGCTGACTGTTGCCCAATCAGTGGAAATTTGAATATGTGTACTTGCGCAGTAGTATAAGGATCATATCTATAGACGAAATTAATTTCTCTTGAATGTTAGTAGAGAATTTAAATTGGCAATCATCATTTTAGGTGTTATAGCTAAACATCATCAATATTTGATTGTAATTTAATGCAGCACAGTACGTAGTGACATATGCGTAAAAAGCGTGTCTTTGAGGCACTGGATCAAGGCTACATATGATCGTTCAGTTAAAGTACACAATGTAAACAAATAGAACCGTAAATAGATTATGATGATATGTATTTGGGAAGGGCAAGACTTGTTTAGTCTGATCCTGATTCACCAAGGACAGTCTTCCTTTTAACGACGTTGTGATCCAGTGGCGTTGCATGACAATAGGTGTATTAAGGAGATTAATTGATTAATTATACGACCTGTAGATTGTGCTGTACAGCAAGTAATCGTATTTATCAATACCTTATTCATATGCCACGGTATGTACAAGTATGAAAATCAACAGATTGAACCCCTCCAAAGAGTCATTGCTATCACACTTCCTTATGTTGCAGTATCATAGTATTGTACAGTACTGCTGGATATTCAGTATCGATCCATTTTTCAAGAGCATTTTTGTTTATTTATTTATTTTATTATATCACAGTAGGGCAAATACTGAAATTTAGATTGGGACGGCAATGTTTCTTGACCTAGTAAAACTACAAGTTTACTTTATTAATCAGTGCAAAAATGATTCCAACGCTCTTTCACCCATCATGACGGAATTTAGAACTGTAGTCCTGTATCTTACTACAGCACAGATTGACTCCAAGTGTACATTGCATCTGCAGATGCAATGTACACCAATGACAACTTCCGATCCAAGACATGCATCAGCTAGGTACAGCTAGCGGGATGATATTCTACAATTTTGTTCAAACTGGTGCTGTATGCTAGCTCGCTATTGGACTGAATGAACTGAATATCTGTACGGTAGGCCACCGCAGAGCTGAAGATGTTTTGCAAGGTGAGATCGACCGACGTTGCATCCAGTTACAGTACTGTGGAATTGCAGCCCATGTTCCGTGCTTGCCATCAGTTTCTACCAGGCTAAGCTACAGTAGATTTGCATAGCACTCTAGGTGATGCAGTTCAGTTTAGGAGTAGCGTCAACCGACTGCTGTGTGACACACACACACACTTCACTACGATGGATGACGGCAATAAAACGACTCCACTGGCATGGGCTATGATGGCGATGATCACAAGGTACTACTATGGGCGCGGTGCATTTTAGTCTGCCATAGTGATTACTATTTAATTGGAGAGTATGTTGTCGATTTGTAGTTATTGTATAGCAAAATAATTTTCAATCGGTCGTTGAATGGCATCAGCACTAAAGTTCTGAGTTAGCATTATTAAGGTTAAAATGAGGAGGCCAAAACGGACTATCATAACATGTGGCCCATTGAGTGGACTATCCCACTATCGTCTACAATCACTGGGCTGAATGCATTTTGGCATAGTAGCACTGTCTACTGTACCATGTAAGTAAAAACGCATTGTCCCATCCTCGACTGTACAGTACTGTCTGTAGACACTGACTACTGTAGTGTGTACTGTACAGTATCTACTGGCCTATCAAACTTTTTGAAATAGTAAGCGTCCAAATGATCGACACGACACCCAGTGTTCACTAAATCACATTGTAATGGAATTTCGACCAATTTCCGTCACTAATGATTTCTTTCCATCCAAGTTACCATTACAAATTCAAGATGGAAAAGTGAACTAATCTATCAAACTAGAACAGTATTATTTGCCATCTTCTATTAACTTGATTATCATACCTAACTTGTCCAATTTTCTTGATCGTTTCGACATGTGCTTGCCATTCAAATCTGTGGAATTGGATAGACTTTGCTCGGTGTTGATCGGTGCAGTGCTTGCATCAGTTGGAGTAATCTTGGCAAGTAGGAAAGAAAAGGAAGGCTTAAAATGCGTCAACTTGCATGATTAGTGAGAAAAAATGAAAGTAGCCTAATAAAATAGTCATCAATTAGACGTACCATGCTAGAAGCCATCTTTGCTGTGGTGTATCTTGGGTGTATCTTGTTTAGGGATAATAGAACTTTTTGCTTGGTTTTGTACTCTACGCTGTGTCAAGTACGGTAGTGGATTTGGAACAATGTCTTACAACCTACTCGGGGTGACTCGCCGTTTTACGTCAGATGACTTTCACTGAAATGCGCCGTAGGAGTGGCTAACGTGAGCATGTGTACTGTGTCGTCGTCATCATCATAGTTGTACCATGTCATGAATGGACGCTGTAGTAGTAATACTGTACAATACAGTGAATGACAGCGCAACGTACACTCCAGTACTGTACGGCTCATCAGACGTGAACCCTGTCCTGGGTTCAACCTCGCAGAGGTAAACAGATAAAAAAGGGCAGCAGGTAGCGAACCCGATTCTGATTGGATGATTCATGTATGGTGAGCCGTGACACAATGTCACGGCATAATAGCTACTACTACTACAGTACAATGTACATTTGTACATGGTGCCACTGCAGTATTATAACACGACACTAAATACGAGTACGGTAGCAAGGAGCCAGGGATGGCTGCAGGGTAAAATAGTCAAACGAACTTTTAGTATCAATTTGTAGCAAGGGCAGCAAAAAGACTTTTTTGTAGCCATACTGTACCTTGCTACCACGTTTTTCTGTGTTCTAGTGTACACTGTACAGTACTGTATACTGTAACCTGGAGATTTCTGCAAACGCATACTGCATAGTAGAGAAATCACTGCGCATGTACACTACAGTACAGTACAACACGGTCACTCCTCCCAGTCCCATCCCTGCTGCCGCCTGATGGTCGGTACGGTGCAGTACTGTACTGTACAGTGTACAGTACAGTATGTAGCGGTACTGTACTGTAGCTGTTCCTGATGCATACTGTATTGAACACTACTGTACTGTACAGTGTACAGTACAGTGTACAGTACAGTACTGTAGAAGAAAACCTGGACTGATCACTGCCTCGGACAGGCGGACCCTTCTCACCCAATCAGGCTAGAAATATCGAAAAATGGCTACTTAGTATGGACCTTCTCAATCTGTTTTCTAAATCACTGGTACTAATTAAAATAACATTTACGATCTTATGTAACTACAGTATTCCTAAGCAGAGCTTTAGTAATCGATAATAAGATTCAACGTAATATGACTTAATTTAGAGAAAAAATCAGTCCGTTCAGTATAGACCGTCCGCATACTCAAGTACGGTCATAACGAAATGTTTAGAACAATATTTGGACGAAAAGAGGTCGGAATGTCTGTCCGTCCAAGAATGATCAGCACAATACGATACAGTACTCTCTTCTGAATACTCAGTATATTGCGCAGTCTCAGTCAAATGCGGTCCCTTAATGGATAGAGAAAAAAAATCTGAACTTTCCTGGTATAGTACTGTCCAGTTTTCATACAGCGTACTGTATCTAGAAGTCTATGACCATACACGGTACTACCAGTGTGATTCAGGACTTCACAGTAGTCCCTGCCTTCAGTTTGATGGTGGTGGCTACGGACGGAAGTCATGAGCCGACATGACTTCTTCTTGGCACCTACAGTACTGAACTACCTGCTTTCACTCATAGTCTTCTCTACAATATATGGGCAAACTAGTGTATCATTCCACGGGCACGGCGCCGTACCATACAACTTGGACACGCTAGACGCAATCCATTTTTACGCTTGGCAGATTTACTGAAGCAGACGCCTTTTTTACTCCTTGTTCTTTGGAAAATTCCAGTGTTATTAGGAAAATGGTAAGTTGGAGTATCATTTTAGCAGTGATAAGTTGTAACAGAGTAGTATTAGAGGATAGAAAGCATGGACGGAACATCACTTGCGACAAGATGTTGCAAATTATCAATAGGGAAGTGTTGTTGGTTGACGAGGACCGCACCCTCGACGCCATGTTAATTAATTATGTTGGCATTGGCGATGATGGCAGTCTGCGATCGACTCTATGCTCCAATCAGTTAATGTAGTATCGTACTGTATAATACTTTCAGCTTGTATGAAAATAATGCGAGAAAGATTTAAAGTATACAACTTCCATGTAGAATATCCTATTCTTATTCTATTCAAAATGCTAAAATGGCCTTCTCTTACAGGCTGCTCGTCGTGCCGGTAGAAAAGTACCGAAGAAGCGAGCCGTAAGGGCCACTTCTAACGTCTTTGCTATGTTCGATCAGACACAAATCCAAGAATTTAAGGAGGTATGTATTATCTACAACCAATAAAATTCAATATATCGACAAATATACAAATAGAATAAACTGCTTACAAATCAATAGACCGTAAAAATTAGTTTGTTTTGCATGGCGATTATCTGCTTGACATGGAGTGCCGTACAACTTGGAATAGCTTAAGATACTTGATCATATAGAATAAAAATAGATATAGCATTCAATAGCAGCAATTCTACAGTTCCTGGTATTATTTATCCCAATAGTTTATCTGATCATGCTAACTTGGCATCACATTTTACTTTTGTACTCTCACGTACTAGTAGTATCAAGTCATCCGTGCGCAGTCATATGTGACAGTGCTACAGTTTACGCCTATACCTAATTTAGTCAGGTAACTCTGTATGTGCTCATCGCGTCTTGGTGCCTTTGGATTCAGTTTGCTACGTGACTTGAAATAGTTCTACAGTAATGTTCTATGATACCCAAGTTTGCATGATACACCACTAGAAATGTACAAATATGAAGACAAAATTAGGCTACAGTTTCTTTCAGCAATCGAACTAATATCAATAAAGTTTATTTCTCAAAGTTCAATGTTAACCAATGACTTCATTGCAGTTTGCTTATGTGAAGGATGCCAAAATAAATACTGTAGTTATATCGATATCCTTCATTGACCAGGGTCTCCTTAAAAAAAATGACGACTATATTTTGTAATAAATTCTAACTATTACTATTATCAAAGTAGAAACATTTATAGTATAAGACTGAAAGTACCAATCACCAAGATAATTCCTTTCCAGTCAAAAAACTACCTTAAGTATCTTTTAGTAGGGACGACTCGCACAAATCATTGGATTCCATTGAAGCATACTAATAAATGATCTCTGTACTAAAGTAGTATTGCGTTCAGTCAAAACTTTCTGGCTTTATGATGCAAAATGACTCATTAATGCGCTAGCATTACAAAAGCTAAAGGTCTACCTTTTGCATTATTACTGACATACAGTATATGCAAGAATAATGTACGATATATTCTGTAGATTATAATTAGGATTTGTGAACCATTACCTTAATTTGTTTCTATTTCTTAATCTCCATTGTATTAATAGTCCTCTTGCTTTGCTATATTAGGCTTTCAACATGATCGATCAAAACCATGACGGATTTGTCGACAAAGAAGATTTGCACGATATGTTAGCATCATTAGGTATGTGATATGTTATCATCATGTTTATTTTATTTCTGCAAGTCAGTCAAAACTGCAATTTATAAGAGGGGATTCCACCATATTATCCTTGCCTTACATTCGGGCTACATTTTAGTAACAGCTTTCCTTAGAAGTATGATTAATAGCAGATATCAATCATCATGTATTACTGTACCAGCAACTAACAAGCCTAAGCTACTGTTATAGATTCATCTGTGCTTAATTTGAAATTGAAATTCATTACAATAGGAAAAGATCCAACTGACCAGTATTTGGAAGATATGATCAATGAATCTCCAGGCCCTATCAATTTTACTATGTTTCTGACTTTGTTTGGAGACAAATTAAATGGTATTTATAGCTGTGGCGCTTCACTACTGGTAAAGGTTACAATGATACGATAACTAAAAACATTTGCTTTGGTGTACACTAATGCTAGGGACGGATCCGGAGGACGTAATACGGAATGCCTTTGCGCTGTTTGATGAAGATGGAAAAGGAAGAATTCATGAAGAACAGTAAGTATCAACTTAGGAGTAATTTCGTTGTTTTAATTTCTTAACTAATGCCCTTACGCTACGATGATTACATAGTAATGTGAGTAATGCAAAAACTTAACTTATTAACTTATAACCTTTCTTCAGTCTTCGCGAGTTATTAATGACCATGGGTGATAGAATGACAGAAGATGAGGTATAACGATGTTATTAAGATTGAGAATATGCCTCAATTTTTAAATTTCGTATAATTAATGATTTCGAGGAATGAGATAAATGACGGTTTTTATTATAGGTAAACGATATGTTTCATGGTGCGCCAATCGATTCGTCTGGAAATTTTGATTACATTGCATTCACCCGAATTTTAAAACATGGTACTAAGGATGAAAATTAAGCGTCATGTTAACAATTTCCATGATCAAACATATTTCTAAAGGTTGATAATTCTTCCTTTGAAACTAACATATTATTCTTGTGGTGATATGGATTGATTTCCTGTTTTGTATCTCCGCAATAGTGTGATATTTTGTTTTTGGTATATCATAATATCAATTTCTTACTACAACTTTACAGTACATCGGTTTCATGTTTCATAGTCTGTATTTAAGCGATTTTTTTAAGTCTGACGAAAATCACTAAATTACTTAAAGTATGGATTAAACTAAAATGTTACAGTAGGCTTTACAATTTAACGGGTTAATTAAAACTGCATTAATGACATTAAAGAAATTTAAACTTTACATACTTAAAAGCACTACGATGTCCAATAATACTATGCATTATTGTTGCGTAGGGTTTCTTTGTAGTCTGTAAGCATAGTACACTGCAGATTTGATCCAACTTGATAATTAAATTACATATTTATAAGAATTTAGTTCTGCGAATAAAAAATGTTGTCCTTGATAATGTACTCGTGTCGGTTCTACTTATTTGTGAATTCTCATTATCATCTGTGAAACTAATTGGAAGTGCTATTGTGCTACTCCGTATAAACTGTAAAGCACTTGAGGTAGTTGATAGTTAATTACTATTATAAATATATAATTAAGGAAAAATCTGCATACAAGGCCGTTAAACTGCAGTACTGTATAAGCAAAGGCACAAGAAGATACTATCTATTCCACTATTTTTTGCACGAGAAACATTTCTACATCTTCTTTGTCCTATAATTAATTTGATGCAGGACACTACAATTCTCAAGTGATGATGAGAACATATTGCCTGTATTGTACAGTTTATGATATAGCTATCCTATAGGCAATCTTGACTTGCCTTTAGTGATTGGCATGTAGTAAAGTGTAGGCCGGGTAAATAATAGCTAAACCATAGTAATAGCAAGGAATGTGAAAATCACAGTAGATTAATCGCTAGCTTGTCAGTTAGAACGTAAGGTACTGTAATCGCCGGAAGCACTGAATGTCTCTCAAATATTGATACAGTGCCCCAGCAGCTAGCTATGCACATGCGAGTACTATCAATTTTGCTGTCCGTAGTAAATGCTCATAATTTTGTTACTGCATTACTGTTTAGGCAAAAAATTTTCTGGTGGTAAATAAATATGCTTACAATATTAAATTCTTTCATAGTATAAACATTCGAAGCTAAGGTAAAATTTAGTTTTAGCTAAAAATGATAAAGTTATTTTCTAAATTACTAAGCCACTAACCTTTAAAAAATTAGTAGATACACATATGTTATCTTTGCTTACAGATATATTACGCATATCGCATTAATGCAGAATATTTCACTATCAAATTTCACTTTCTTTGACAACTAACTAGTACGGTTCCGATTAAAGTTATTGTATGATTTTAAGTTTGCTTGTGAGCCATTGCTTATAATTACGATCCAAAGTAAGCTCATAATCTTGTATAATTAATTCATATTTCCAAATAGACAAGGTGAACCAAAATGCTACAATACTAGAAGTAAAAGTTATGCAGGAAATCTTCTTAAGGCAGTTTCGTTTTACACAGTATTTATAAGGATTTTTATGTAATTAGCTAGTAGATTTCACACTTAATTAATAGCTCATAACCATCAAGAAAAGAACTTAATAACCGTAAGGCTTCCACAATTATACATTACGCTGTTGAATAATAATGAATTTTTATTTTATGAAATATTAATTGTTATAAAACGTAAAATAATAGTAATGATGAACTGGTTTTCATTTTACTTTATAAAGGTCATTCATTACTCGATACAAATGAAAGTTATAAATATATATATATAATACGAACGAAAATTAAAATGTGAATAGTAATAATAAACGAATATAATAAAATAAAGCAAAGTCGATCAATGAAAGAATTGTAATAAAAAGGTAAAATTTAGTTTCATATTCGTTTAATGGATATGTTAGCTAAATAGCAATAAATAGATTATGCTTCTAAGGATATAAGCTATGCTATACTCATGCTTACAGTCTTGAAAACGTTTTTATTCAGAAATGTTATTTGTATTTCTATTTAATTCATCATTATCAACAAGATTTTCTCCATTTTCTAATGGTATTGCTAAGTAAATGCCAAGTTTATCCTCGCCAGATGATCGAGGTGTATAAATAATATTATAATCCATAGAAGGAATGGCTAACGTAATCTCATTATAGGGGGCAAAATTTCGCAATCTACAAAGGTATGCTATACATGTGTACAAAAAAGTCTTGGGAATTTCAAAGAATAGAGCTTGAATCCACAGGAGTTGATACAGTAGAGATGTTAATGTAATAGCTGCAGCAAACATAACAGAGAATATTGCGCATATATGTCTAAGACGCAACAAAATATTTAATTTTGCAGCAATTTGATCTTGTGGGGTTACGTGTGTCATATGTACTAATTTTACTTCCGAAACCATACACTTTAATCTTTCAGAGAATTGTCGAAGTAACATTATATTATACGTACACCATTTTAAAGCTTTATACATCATAACGACAGCACAAAATACCATCACGCTCTATAGAGATGTTATAACAACAAATGAAAGATAATATGATTAGTTTAGTAATACATAAATAAAATGTCTCGCCGGGAACATAAAAAAAATTGTAAATTGTTCTTACCAAGAAATATTTGTGGATCAAGAGCATGCACATAGTCGATATCGAGAAGAGTATAGAATACACTAATAAAAAGGAAGAGAGTATAACCCAACTTAAACAAAAATAATACTATATTTATGTTCTAATAATACACTGTTACCTGCTAATTCGAAAATCTTGTGTCTGCTAACAGAGTCTTTAATAATACAATAGCCCTCAGAAATTAACATGACGATAGCAAATAAGAATGGATTTTCTATGCTATCAAAAACCGTTACTGTTGTATCTAGTATGGTGAAGGATTTTCCTATTAAAATTGATAATACTATGACTTTAATATTGGTGATTTTTTGAAAATACGAATACCGTTATATTTAGGTATAAATTGCATTAATTCAGGTATCGTTGTGATCTATGGTACGCTAGTAAGGATATATAAATCAATTATAGTACCTGATGTTGATAGAATTTGAAGTCGTATAGTAGTAAAAAGCAGTGCCGTGACCTTGATGATAGGATAAACTGTGATAATTTTGTGGAGATTGTTTGAATACTGTAAAATATAGTAAATTAATCTATTAGTGATGGAAAAGATTTCATCCGCTGGCTATCATTTCGTGTTTTCTTACTAACACATTGCTAAGGCAACTTTTATGTCATACATATATTGAATGTTCATTGTGTATAAAAATTTACCTTCCAGTACATAATCCAATTTAATATCCAAAAAACAGTTAAAATACACCAAAATAACAACATTACAACGTAAATGTTAAAGGCATATTCGGCATTTTTGTTGATGAAGGTTAGGTCAGCCTATAAAACATAATAAAAGAGTGATAATTAATTTTAAATCACAATGCTTGGACACTATTATGGCCGATTTATCAATTGCCATTTTTAATACAGGATAGGCAGTATACCCGTATAGGATGCAATTCCATAATTAATGACCTAAGATTCTAACCTTGCAGTAGCTTGCGTTTCGTTTAATATCGAGCCATCTACTTTTTTTGATGGCATCTTTACTTTGACAACTTTGGATATATAATTTGGAAAGGTTACCATTGTTGATTTCATATAGCAAAGTAATCTGATCATTTTTATATTTATCAGCTGTAACTTTCCGCTGGCAGTATTGATTAATAAGAAATGTGTCGCATGGTTTATTCAGTAATTTCTGAACATAGAAAAGGGATTTTAAATGAACAAGTTTTAGATTCTACTTCAGCTTTATGAAAATAGAAATGATCATGTCTATTTCGTTAATTTGGGAACATTACACTTTAAGTGTATAAATTAAAAAAGAATGGCGTTAATATTCTGCTGTTATCATATGAGGGTAGAAAGAACTTACGTTTTCATCGCGGTCATTCGAAAATTCGCAGGATAATATGGAAAAGGAAGGTCTAATCTGCTTGGTTAAATATAGAATTTGAGAAATATGAAGAGAAATTGGTAAAAATTGGTAAAGTCTGATAAGCTAAAAGATAATATAATTAATCGAACTATTAAGTTATTGTACGCGATCGTAAAATTAATCATCTATGATTGTTTGATAAAATAATTTATAAGGTAGCACAGGTTATATATGCATTATGTAAAAGTTTTGCAATCTTGTAACGATGATCATACTCGTGTTTCAGTTAATGTCACTTTTTTCAATCTTCAATATGATAGGTAAAAATACGTCTGAGGCACCGTACTCTTGCAGTTTTGTAAATGAATGCGAACAAAAACTCTGAAAGCATTTCCTTCTACATACAGTAGAAAATAGTTGACTTTTTATGATAGACTAATGTCTAAGGTTTTGCAATACAGAGTACCGGGTTTGCCTCTTAGATTTTATTCAATCATACCACTATAGGAATTAGCGGTTATAAGCTAAGCATTTATTATGTAGGGTAATTAATTATTCAGGCCTATAGCTATTCTCAAGGAGAAAAACATATTTAATTCTAAGTTTTGACTGGTTGAGTTTAATACACTAACAATAAATAAATAATACTAATAGAGAGACATTAACGATATATTTTTTCCATTGCATTTGTCATCGATTGTGACTATTGACGTTTTACAGGGTAGAAATTGAAAAGAGATATGGAGGAAATAAAGAAAAAGAAATGCCGACGTAGACTACGGTATAATAAGTTGTAATTTGCAACGATGGTAGCTGAAAAATATTAGAGTTGATTGCAATACTGAAGAAAATGATATTACTTGTTGTCGGCTGAATCCATTTTTGGATGCAAGCTGTTTTCAAGTCAATATTGGTAATTAAATAATTAATTAATTAATATTGAACAAGCCATATTAAAAATGAATGCTATGGTTCATACTGATTTGGTAGTCTGTGCATAATAACTATCTATGTAATGACATAGAGGAGATGATCTTGCAAAATAGAGAGCAGTAAAGCATCATTTTATATTTATGACCTTTGAGTTTAGTAATTAAATAGAATCATACAATTTAGACATGGCGTAAACTGGATTGAACGTACTCTTGTTTGCAGGCTCAAAGAGTAATCATTATAATTTACTGGTGAATGCATTAATTAAATACATTTTTCAATCAGGACTAATTAGTTTAAAATGCTCTACTCTTGAGCAATCTATCACTACATGATAGAAAGATTGAGGCAGAATTGATGAGGATAGAATAATGTTGCAATCCGTTAAACGTCCAGGTGTAACAGTTTAGTTGGAAAAATTTTTGTAATATGCGTATTGTTGAAAGACGTACCTGATAGCAAGATATGTTAGCGACGACCAGAAATCGGTCTCCAGCGCTATTCTTAGATAGTAATGTGTCTAAGGGTATGATAGCTTGGCTTTTTAATGATAGTTTAGCAGACGATACCAAATTTTCCTTATTATTAGTGAAGGCCATCGTTGATGGAAGGATAGAAATGACTATATAAAATTGGCATATGACGAAAGTCAAGTTTTTGTTTAAGCCGGAAACGGTCCATTGGCGTGTGTTAATCTTCATGATTGTTTGTAAAACTTTCTTTTTTTATCACCCAAATATCTTGGATAAATTGCAAGAGGCCAAATTGTGATGGACTGTAATAGTGGAAGGAATTATATTTGGAGAACCACCAATAATTTTCGACCTATAATTCTGTTATGCAAGGGGCAAGCTATAATGCTAGCCAAAATGTCTTCGATGTACCCTGCAAAAGCTGAATCTGTTTGTTGTCTTTTATTATTGTTTATGATAGTAATAGCAAAACGTAGTAATATCCAAGTGTGAAAGGAAATAATGATCACACAGTGATGTCGCTATGTTCTTTTGGCCATTACACTACCAAAGAGGCCAAGAAAGTACTTTAATTGATAAATTCGATATTGTCATCAAGTAGAATGTTATCCCTTCGATACTACTCTTGCAGCTCATGAGCAACCATTCCAAACATCAAGCAAGTGATTGACAAGAGTCCTTTTTTTTTCTTTTGCTAATGCTCGTCGATTGAGAAATCAGCCCGAGTTATCCGTAGTAGTGCAAGGATTGTACAATGCAATATTGAAAAGGTGTGAATAAGATCGAAGTAATTCAAGGCTGTATCCTAACGTCAATTTCTTCCGTTTGATTTCCACTTTTCAAGTCAAAATAAAGGGGCAAGATAATCCATCAACTTGATCCAGAGACAACAATCGGATCGGACAGTAAGACCACGTCGTGTTGTCGAGCAACGAGCCTGTTGACCGGCTACAAGATACGTGTCCAGTAGAATAAAGTAGTCGACAAATTGAAAGATCGACCTCGTCTTTCTCGACCGTAGAATTCTATCCAAGTGAAAGAATCCAATTCGAGCAGATCGTTGGCAACGATGAGACCAGACAACAAAAAGAAAAAAAAAATTAAGATTGTGTCATGCCGTCATCAATGACTTTCTCGTTTTTGAATTTGATAGTCAATACATTACGGTTAAAAATTTTTTTAAATAAATTATTGAAAACAATAACATCAAAATACTGTAAGATAGATTAAAAAGAAAGTCTTTGTTTCAAGCTAGTTGAACAATAGGACAAGATTGAGCAGGCAGACAGGACAATAGATAATTCGTTATAGGGTACAGTACAGTACAGTACTGTACAGTACAGTACAATACAGTGCGGTACCGTTCTTTGTACTGTAACACCCAGTACTGTACACTGTACTATACACCTACAGTACAGTATGTAGAGTACAGTACTATTATGAGTATTATCACCAACATGATCTCAAACCCTGGAGTACAGTACAGTAGACTGGAAAATCACAACTGCAAGGAGATGAAAAAATATTTTGCATGTCTTTTTTAGTTAATAATATCCCTATGCCAGTCTGCTACCTATGGCTGGAAGAAGATGGTAGGATTAATTTTGCTTTCGTTGTACTTGCAACAATCCATACAAAATGCTGATCGCCCTATCCTTGTACAGTACTGTACTATAGAATGTACACTGTAAACCCTTTCGGATGTTAACTTGATGCTCAGAATTATTGGATGCTGAACGTCTCCAAGCATTTGAAATCACTACTGTAACATTATGATCTTATATACAGTACAGTACAGTACTGTACACAGTACACGATATAAAGTTACTGAACCTCTGTTAAATGAGCACATTATCGTAAACCGTCAGTAAAGCGACGGGAGTTTGCACTAGTATTCATAATGTACGACATCATGACGACATATAGACGACATGCTATACTGTACATATAAAGACATTATCTCAACCTCATCTAAAACCTATAAATACCCTTGTAAGCTAACTCGTTAGTCAGTTCCTACGTTCCTGCTATCTCAAATACCTTATCTATAACAACCATATCATTGTTAGCCTATAGCTTGTATCTCAATAAAATCCTTTATACCTTTTATCATCGTCTACCTTAAAATACTTTACGCTACTTAAAGAAGATATCATTACAACTACCACAGTGCGGAAATGATCAGAATGCTGCTGTCTACTCGCCTTGAACATACAGTATAGCACTTGTACAGTACAGTACTGTATATAGAGTTGTGAACATCAAATTAAAATCTGAAGAGTCTACTCTATTGTGCACGGTGAATAGTGCATAATACCGCAGCAAGCATCCTGTACACTACAATAGAAATGGTTCACTGAATTGTAATCCACTGCTTATAATGCTGGCTGACAAGTGACAACCTGCAGCAAACATGATATGGCATGCCTCAGAGTGAATTCACTTTAGCTACCATAGACTCATTATACGCTATAAAATTCTAACATCATTCAATTAAAATGATCTGTCATATTTCTATGACGTTGATGAAACTACTTCTGCGATACCTGGTTCTGCAGATCTGAATATGCAGTATTGCAGAAGTCGAGTTTCATCAATGCGGAACCAGCGGTGTTCTAGTGATCCAAGGTATAGCATAATGTACATTGTACAGTACTGTACAGTATTGCGTAGTACATGATGCGTACAGTTTCTATTTCCCCCTTGAACTGTGTATTTCTGTCGTAGTCCATGGCGGTATGAACCAGACCAAAGTTTCTGGATTTCTCTCCAATTTTTAGTCGACTCTACAGTACTATACAGTGTACACTTGTAGTGTATTTCTTTTGTAGTCCATGACCGTATGAACCAGACCAGAGTTTCTGGATTTCTCTCCAACTTTTAACTGACAATTCTAATTATTATAGAGTACCGTACTTTATGTAGTCCATTACCCTATGTACACTGTAGGCTAGGTGATTGTATCCGCAGTCCTCAGCCAGATGACGATGCGTTTGATACTAGCTGGCAGAGTCAGAGTGCTGCAAATCACCAAATCGCTACCTCAAAATCAATATTCGAACCTAATCAAGCCTTTTCGGTAGCCAAATGGAGTCCTGGGACCGCAAGAAGAAGTGGTCCCCCATCCAGTACTATACTGTACAGTACAACTGTACAGTGTACAGTAGGATGGTTGAGTGAATAGATACTGTACTGTACTGTAGCATTCTTTTGTTATTGTACTGATACAGTTTTCATTTTATTTTAACCGTGAAACAATGTCGAAATTGACCTGTGTGACCGATGACCTTACTGTATTGACGGACTTCTAAATACCTCTAGTACAGTACAATGCCCCTCGAAGGAAACAAAAGAAGCTCCTCCTCTTGCACCACGTGATCATTCTCCATAGCCCAGGTCATTATCTCTCCAAATAATGGCCATTTAGGTGTAGGTATAACGTAGTGTCACCCATAGGGGTGACGATATCTCTCACCTCTAAAAAGAGGTACAGTACAGTACAATGCCCCTTCAAAGGAAACAAAAGAAGCTCCTCCTTTTGTATCACGTGATCATTGTCCATAGCTCAGATCATTATCTCTCTAAATAATGGCCTTTTGAACGTAGAGGCCCTAGTGCCACCCATAGGGTAACGATATCTCTCAGTACAGTAATACTGTACACTATAAGTCATTGGTCGTGACCTGGCTGGTTGGTTCCACCATTGGATACTGTAGCCAGTGAGCACTACCATACAGCCAGCAGCGACAATAGCTTTGGAGAACGTGCGTTGATTGGCCATTAATCCTCGTCTACTTTCTCCTTTTATATCTCCTTTTCCATTGCCGTTTCCATCTCTACCATGTCGATAGCCAGCGCTCGTCGTATCATGATTGCTTTAACGGAGGTTGGTCGAGCAAGAGAGAATATCCTACAGCGAATTGAAGCTGCTAAATTGCGTCGATCTGCTGTAAGTACTTGCTGCAACAGTAATGGACTTTGATTGCAATATGTTGCCACTTTACCAGCACTCCCAGAAGTCAAAGCGTAGTTCCCAGCGGCATGGACGCCATCGTTTCATTCATGTCGTAGTCTTGATGATGAAAATTGTCTTCTTATCCGTAGATCCAATCCATTAATTGTTATACATTGAGCTTGGATAGGAAATCCCTTTGCAATGAGTTACCATCAATAGTAGCAAACTGTTGGCTCTATTACAACAACATGATGAACAACTCCAACAATAGATACAGTATAGTAGTACATGCAGTAGCTCGCCGTCCACCCCAATAATAATCATACCGGGAAATTGGCTAATTGCATCACCAGCATGCAATATGATGGCAAATTCATTTTATTTTGGCCCTACATGACGATCGTCTGTATTAAAACCCAACGACTTTGTAATAATAAAAATGTTAAAATGCTCGATCATCAGTAGGAAAGACACTTTGACCTAGATCAGAACAATCTGTCATCACTGGCTTAAATCAATATAAATAAAATAAATTACAACTCATTCCAGGACAACACAATTTTCATACATTGGACAGATCCAATCTCATCGTTTCTGACGGATCGAAAAACATCATCTAACCGTTCTATATCACGGTTTTACAAGGATGATTATTGCTATCCAAAATATACAGTAATAATTACATCAAAGAGTCACTAACTATGCTTTTATAAAGAAATTAAAACCACGGTAGTTTTATTCCACTTTACAAGCTCAACACTTTGTTCTTCTCATCGTGTAACTGTGCCTCATTCTGTTCTACTTGATTTATACTTTCAGCGGTTGCACTACAACATGAATATTATTCTTTTAAATAAGATTGACCCTGATAGCTTAAGATACTATACGATGGCAATATCCAAAAAGCAAAAATCTCTTGTTCCTGCCCTTGGAAAGGCCGTCTTATTTGACCTCAGCACTTGTTGAAGCTCTTCATCGTAATATTACTGTACTGTAGTTTTAAAAATGAATTTCAAGTGAATGACAATCATACTATGTTGTACAGTAATATGAGAAATGATCAGTCTGCAGCTGTAAAACATGTAGAAATACTGTAAATAAACTTGACACTAAGCGCTGGAGAGAAAATGTCCATCGACTTTGAAAATTTTCAATATACATTACAATCATAAACTGTTTTTTACAGCATTATAATTATTTATTTATTTTTTATGACCTATAATTCTTGCTTGAATCATGCTAATCTACCAGATGCACTACGTATCAGTTGAAGCGGAATTAAGCGAATTGGATGTGATATTGTTACTCCAATATCAATCACACGATAATTATCTTCAAGAATAGACATATAAATAATCCCTCCAATGAAACTCGATACAAATATGCTCTATTGCTATTTCAAATAGGAATTACCTAATATAGAGCCTCGTTTAGTTGCCGTCAGCAAAACAAAGCCTGTTAATCTTATAATTGATGCATTTGAAAGTGGTCAAACTCATTTTGGTGAAAACTATGTAAGTTTATGAAATACAAGATGTATCATTTGCAATTTTTGCTATTGAGAACTTAAAAGGAAAACTTGAACAGTAACACTGCCTCCTTAGTGGCTCAAAATTTTTTCCAGTAATTATTTTATTTCTCATCAATTTGTAGTATTGTGTCGATTCTAGAGAAGGCTAAAGTTACTAGTACGATAACTAAAATCCACTTATCGAAATAGTAATTAATTAATCAATCCTTAACTAGAGTCTGTAGAATATCGTTGCTCTTAAGTCACGACAGTAAGGTATAATCGTAAAATAAACATTTGATTTTGAAGTTGATAGTAAGGTTGGAATACAGTTAAGAATTTGATGCCTTTATTTTGATAGTGCGGATTACTTGTACTGCATGCATTGAACGATGTCGTGATGTCGTTTTATACTGTCCCTTTGGAAAATATCATTTTAAAACAGCACCATAAAACCTTGTGATAATTGTACTTGACTGCTCCTTATCGTTTAAAAATTGTAAACTTGGCGATAGGAATTGGAGATTAATGGTAGCTTCGATAACAAAAGACAATTTTACGTATCTCTCTATATATACTGATATAGAAGTTATTTTACTATGGATTGCATTTAGAATATTCGTTATCCTAATCGTACAACATTTTTTTTATCTCTAATACTATACTGCTCGTAGGTTCAAGAGTTAGAGCGTAAAGCGAACGACGAAGAGGTAAGCTAGGATAAACTTACAGCAGTATAGATTATCAACTTGTCGTGATTCCCAAATTATGTTGGATTTTCAATAAATACAGCCTTTACTGTACGAAGAAAACTTTAATATTCTTTTCCTATTTCCGATGACAACATAGCAGATCCATTGAATACTTTAACTCTCAAATTGATAACAGTTGCTGCATCATTAATCATTCCCATAAAACAATCGTTACACCTTTTATCATTGTACGTATATACAGTATGGTAGTTTATCATAGTTTTCAGAACGATAGAATAAGCATTTGTACCACCAGTCGTGATATGCTGAACAATCTTATGACTCCAGCTACTACAGAGTTTATCAGTAATAATGAATTTAGAAATTCATCCATTTATCTCTTTTGAACTCTTGTATTTATAAAGTAGTCTCTTCTTTTGGATTCATGTAACAAGCTTATTTGGCCATATATGGCACCTCTCATCCGTGTTGGAAAAAATTGTTGCAGTATTAATGATGATCCATTTTATTCAATCATATAGCTTTTGAAAGCAACCAAAGGACAAATCAAGTGGCATTTTATCGGCCATTTACAAAGTAACAAATGTAAAAAGCTTGCCGGTACGTTTACATTCTTACGATTGCTAAAAAAATGGACTACGATTTGTTAATAGTTGTTTGTTGTGGTCTGATACCAATAGCTATTCCGAATCTGGATACGGTAGAAACAGTTGATTCAAAGAAATTGGCAGATTGTTTAAATAAGGCTTGGGAAAGTGCTGGAAAGTTGGAACAACTTAACATCATGGTGCAAGTAAATACTAGCCAAGAAGAAAGTAAGTCAAAGCAGTTTTATGTTTTAAGTGGTATAACAGGCTTATATGCTGTAGTACATTGATGTCAAATATTTCTAGTACAGTAGATTACTAGTAATTTTAACATGATTGTACGCGAAGAAACGTGCGACAGAGACAAGTTCAAGTAGTTTATATCACTAGTTTGCAATGCGCTTAAAATCAGATTGTATCATAAATAATTTGGCTATTTAAGATACTATCTATTCGTACAGCGGCTATTCTATGTTGATAATGGCTAAAAGTAAATGTACCATATTCTATTGCAATTGGCTCCTAAACATATTTCGTACAGAATGAACGAGAAGTATAGGGACGCCAAAACAAACACGTTTAGTGCGTACGTTACTGGCAATTTTACCGAACTTGCATTACTTTTAATTAAAAAAATTTGAAATTTAACCGAACTTTAGCCACCGCTATTATTAGCAATGAATCATCTAAAGAATGGCAATACGATGTAAATCAGTTTTTTAACGAAAGTCTATGCACGCATACTGTACAACATCTTGATGATCATTTCAATATATGTAGTCATCACGTCGATAGTATAATAATAAAGTTCAACTTGTATATAATAACCTAAACTGTATGCTGTGCTATACTGCATTGATGGCATTAATTAACTGCTTCAAGTTATCTATGTTATAGATTTGTAATTATTGAGCTATTAACCTGAGCACTGATTTTGCAGCTTGACCATGTCGAAGGCTTGTATACGCGTATGCGTCTGATCATACACTGGCTATCAGTGGCATTATACTATTTGCTCTTGTTACTGCAACTGTCAATGTTAGTTATTATTCTTTTATCGGTTTAGTGATAGTGAGATAGCATGCATAATTAAATTACGCTTCAAATTCGTATAGTAGCGATAGTAACATCTTGTATTCATAATTCTTTTGAGGCTTAACATACGTAAACGTTTATTATAAATTATTCGCTTACGCTCATAGAAAAGATATGTGTGTGCACTAAAAATGTTTATAAATGATATTATGCTGGGCTACTTTAGAAGTTGTTATTTTTGGTTAGTGTTTTGATTGAAAGTTATATTAGCATTATTAGAAAATGAGTCTTAAAATTTATTCTCGAAAGGTTACATTTTACAATACTGTACTTGCGCTAAAAGTACGTCATAGAGCTTAATGTGGAAGCCATCAGTTTTATTTTTATTTAGAATTGCATTAATGTTAATTTGAATGTTTAATATGAACTTAATTTAGAAAATGAACGATTCTTACTTTAGTGTTTTCTCTCTTGCTAGATAAAAGTGGATGTCCGCCAGATGATTGTGTAACAATCGTTGATCATGTATTGAAACGATGTAAAAAGTTAAATTTTGTTGGCCTTATGACTATTGGACAATTAGGCCGTCATGATGCGGATAGCAACCCGGACTTCAGAGTGCGTATCTAATTAAAATGATCATAGCTGTTATTTTTCCGTTATATACGAGTCTTGGTTTACATAATAGTATAGGTGCAATCTATCTTAAACTTCTTTAATATTTCAAATTAATTTTTGGGTACAGTAGTAGTTGCCTCATGCTAATTCATAGTTTCAATTTAATAATCTTATAGTTATTAAGCGAGTGTCGGAAGACTGTATCTGATAAAATGGGTATCCCCATTGATGCTTTGGAGCTAAGCATGGGGATGTCGCAAGACTTTGAACACGCGGTATGTGGTTACATATGCTAGACAATTCTAACTTTATACCTATGCATAAATAGCAAAGCATGATATGTACAGTTGGGAAATATCCCATTATTTCTGATTGGCTATAACTTGATATTTACTACGAAAATTGTAGATTGAAATGGGTAGTACCAGCGTAAGAGTAGGAAGTGCTATTTTTGGAAGTCGTCCGTAAAGATTGTATCTATGCTGTAGGAATTCAATTTTTATTCAAAGCTATCCCCGATAAGTAATCTGCAAAGATTGCTCTTACGGGAATGAATAAGATTAGATAACATGTTAGAAACTGCTACTTGTAGTAGTAAAATTAATGCACTATCACTAAAACACGCGTTGTGCTCGCATGTAGAATTGCTGTCTAACAGATTAAATTTAGTTCAATTTGGTGTAGTTAGTGTTCGCATTAATGGTATTATCGATTGCTTCGATATACATATCGCGCCATGACATTTCCATTGGAATGTCTACAACGTTCAATTTTGCCGTATAATATAATACGCTTTTGAAATTCTTATACAATAGATAATTTGATTTAATTATGCAATACACGGTATCATGATTTATTTGTATACATTCAACTGCTACGAGTTATGTATTAACGGTACTTTATTATTTTATTGAAAATGTTAAATAGAACAATATTTTAGTCGTAGTTTGATGCATTTATAATTTAATGATTGCACTCTATTTTTTCCTACAATTTATTTCTATGTCGATGTTTACCAATAGCTAGATTCAGTCATCCAGTTAACGTTACAATACTGAGATTGAGTAATAAATACTGGACAGTAAAGTTTTACACCCTTATTCTGTATCTTCTAACAAATGTATAATTCATTGATGCTGTATGATGCATGATGTGTACCGTAAATATAAGGTATACTGCATTATGACAGAATAAGGGATTCATGATAATCTGGAATAAAATTGTTTTTTTATTCGATATATAGAATATTAGCAAACATGAGGCAGGATTGAAATGTAAAAATAACAGTAGCGTGGTACTATTAATACATTAAGTTTTATCAATGCAAAATTTTGTCCGATATTTACGTACAAAAAGGACATATACTGTAGTATTGGAAACATAGTAAAAGGCTATCAAGTGGGCAAATAGCTGACCACTTTAGAAATACGCGTAAGCAAGTTGGTCGCTCTGGTAAATGGCTGCTTGAGGGCAAAAATTCTACAGTACTTCTACTTGCATTTTTATAAGATAAACATTGACTTCTAAATTAAAACTGGAACGAGAACACTACATATATCGACATGTCTGTCATAAGATTATCATAGATAGAAAAGAATGAGCCGCTCGCTGTATCATCATTTATACAGTGCTATCTACGCTATGAACTGACTATGATAGTCTATGATAGACAGTCATGATAAGTTTGTGCGTACAGTATTTCGATGTTCAAGTCTTTATTACAAAATAGCGTCATGATACGTAGAATGATCCTTCTTCATAACAATTGCCATAGTTTATTGGTCATTTCAAAGTCAGTATTTTCAGATACATTTAAAGCGAAGGGTTTGCAGTCATTTTCGTACATTATAACACCTTTGATTTGATCTGCGGAACAATGGTAATTCCATTCAATTCCAGAGATGTTTGTGTACAGATCGAAGAATTGCTTACATTTGGTTTTTTCCATGACTTGAGTTTCAACAGTTTTACGATCTTTGCTTGTCGATTCCTTTTGCTGAATGAGTTGATTTAACTTGGTGGCGTCATTATCATTTCTCAAGTTAGCCGACCGTGATGATTGTTCTAATTCCTGATATTTCTTTTGTAAATTTTCAATAGCTTTCGAATAAAAGTGATCATTCTCCGCTTGATTTTCTGCTTGTTGTTTCTCTTGAGCTGCTTTAGCCTTCAACGTTTCAATTTGCTTCCGAATGGAAATCATTTCTTTCTCATATTGCATTTTTAGGCTAATGACTTGATTACTTATATCTATTAATACTTTTGTTTCGCTGTCTGCTTCACTAAGACTGATTGATTCTATGGCTTGGGTTAATTTTTCCTCCATCTTGTCGCTTACTGTTGCTATCAACCATTGGTTGAAAAATATTTGCCTTTCGTTGCTCGACTTTGGTGCTTCACTATTCCACGTCTATCTGACTGTAGTGTACAAATTGAATCAACACCAGATAGAAAGGCGATGCTTTACAGTAATACTTAGTTGCTCCTCTGGGATGAGATTGTTGTGGCTTTGGCTGAGGATAGTTCTGTGGCAGGCTTTCAGACGAAAAGCATCAAGAGTAGGCGAGTGGAATCATTGGCAGTCAATATTCGTACTTGGGATACGCAGCAAACTGGAGCAACTTTTCAAAATTTTCAAGTCTCCCTCCGTTCGTTTGAAATTCCGATACAGTGTACAGTAGGCTAAGTGCAGTACAATGTACTGTACTTACGCAGTTACGCTACGCGTACTGTACAGTACTGTACTGTACTATGGTAGATCCCTGTATTGTCACAGTACTGTACAGTACAGTACAGTAGTTTGACTCGTCTTGTACAGTACACAGTACTGTAGACGCAAGACAGTTCGTACTGTACAGTACGGTACAGAACTTGTACGATACGATACGGCAAACTAGTCCTTGATATCAAGTACTGTACAGTACAGTACAGTACAGTACAGTACAGTACCGTACAGTACTTTACCTAAGAGATGTACTGTACAGTACAGTACTGTACGTACTACTGTACTGTACAGTATACCGTACTCTACAGTACTGTACACTGTAGCAAGACAGTTCGTACTGTACTGTATTTTACGATACAATACGGCGGACTACCGTACTGTACTGATATCGGTCGTCTGTACCAGATCGTCATACTGTACTGTAAAGTAGAAAGTCGTACTGTACGACACGACACTGTATTCCTCCGCTAAAGCGCTCAAGAGAACAGCACGTCTTGGATGCCAAAGCCAAGCTTGTTTTGAACTTTTGAAAGCATTGAAGAAGCCAATTGAAAGCTCATTTCGCTCAAGAAATCTTTCTACAGGAAATTCCATTAAAATTAGTTGATATAGCATAGATTGGTATCAATCCAGTGCAATGTCCGATAAAGGTAAAGCTACTCCTGTGGCCAATGAAACTTGGAATACAGTCATCAAAGTGCCTCCAAGAACTCTACCCGGTGCTATCAATGAAGGCAATCGTGGAGCTTGCGATTGGTAAATGCTTATGCAATCCACTCTCTCTCTCTCTTTCACTGTCCATGCTATTAGTATTCAATTCTTCGTCATGATTGTCTTGTCAATCGAGCTATTCATGCTAGGATAATCATATCGTTCAATAGTCTAGAGTTGCCGCAGTAGTCATTAAAAGCTCATCTGTCCAAGATGAAAAATACCAAAGTAAACTTGGACATATCAGATGTTGTTATTTTTCAAAGTCGCCATCAGGGCTGTAACATATCATACTGTACGCCAGCTATCGTAAGAGCGGACGCTTTGATAGTAAAATTCTCTCCCATTTCTATAGTTATAATAGACACACATCAATGATAAATGACTGACTGTTTCATCATCATTTTAATCACGGATAGGGTATGAAAAATAGATCCAAGCGACTCAATGACTTACAGTAATTATTAGGGTTCATTTGAGGGTCGATCATGATATGACAGAATCATCTTTTCCAGTAGGGCTCAATTGACAAGTCATACCAATGCAAAATGTTCTACCCAGTAGACATTCACGTCTTTAAATAATGGATAAGGAATGACAGTCACGAGTTAGCGTAAATAAATAAATCTGCTTCTAGTTTTCTACAATCTCATCAATTTTTAATGAATTGACAGGGGATGGCAGTCTCTCTTCGCCTACGGATGTGATAAGAACGTAATTGTCATCGATATTGTCTCATTTAGGGTAAGTTGCAGCGGATCACTTTAATCTTGCTTGATTATATTTTTATAGCCTAACCTTGATACCATAAAGTAGATGTTCGTTTGAACTCTTGATCAATTGAAAGGAAACTCTCACAAACTGCTAGTCTCAATTTGAGTTGCAATATAGACTTATATATGTACATGTCTAGATGTAGTGTACCCGTAATTTAGACGCAAAATAGACTTTGTATCAATTTATACTTTAGTGATTGAACTACATCATAGAGGTAATGAAGAAATCTCTTAGCGTAATTTGACGAGCAGAATATCTCCAACATATGGTACGATACATATCGAATCATCTTGTTATGAATGAAATGACTTACTATTCAAAATCATGATGAATTGGAAGGAAGAAATAAACCCAATAATTTTGTGTACAATGACAAGATATATGTGTCAAGCAATTGAATGATAACATTTATACTAATGAGGCAATTATTACTATCCGATTATACATGGATCGTAGATATTTTATAGATGCGAAAATAGACATGTTGGTTATTCATACTCAGCGTATTATTACATATTTACTAACATCACCCTTCAAGACACTACTATACCCAGTATTTAAGTAATATTTTCTTTCTGTACCTACACCGCATTCCATCATGTAGCATATAAAAGTCAATTCTTTGATGATTGGATGACAATATCAATACATAAACTGCGATGTAAGTATACTATATTGCGCAATTCTAAGTATTCTTCTCTCTAATCCTGCAGGCTCTTCAAACACTTGTAGGACATCCGGCTTGTGTAGTCAAGGTAAAATTGTTGGCCTGTGTATGATGCAACTTGTACTTGTATTTAGTTAGTCGTAGCGATAGAGGCGATCAACACTTTTTTTGAAAAGTTACAAATCTTGAAATAGATACTCTATTCGATACTACAAAAATAAGAAATCTTAGCTTGTAATCTTATCACTAGCCATCGCTTCCCATTTCTGTTTATAGGATCATTAACATTATAGTGCCATCATTAGATATCAACATAAACTATTATTAAATTAAGCCACAGTATCTATCAATATTCCTATTGATTGTTTTAATTCTACATGCAACACAATTTGTTATAATACACTAACTATGATTCTACTTCATCTCCTGTAATACCTAATTTTATAATGGATATTTCATAGGTTAAATGGTCATTAGAAAATTATCATCATAGTCTTGGATCACCGTATACCTTGCGTTTAGCGTCAGCAGATCAAGCTGGAAATGTTATTGTGTGGAATGTGCATGACGGTAGCGTAATTGCACGTTTTTTTAAACCGGGGACATCCGCCGTTGGTCATTTGGAATGGTTTCCTTCTCAGCAAGCTTCACGTGATCTGTTAGCTGTTTTGCATTTACCGTCAACTATTATTTTGTGGAATGGGAACACTGGCACGTCGCTATGGCAAAAAACATTTCATGAAACACTAAAATACTTTGCTTTCGATCCGTTTAATCTATCCAACGTATTAGGTAATAGTTTATACCTTTCAAAATTTGTATAACAACTTGCTTAACTGATTGGGATATAGTTGAATTAATTACTTACATTCAATTTTACTCTTTGATATGGCAAGACGTAATATCTGTACAATGCTCAATTTAAACTTCGTGACTCTTATGATGTACTATAAACATGATGCAATTTTTAATTTTGACTATTCATGTATTCAATAGTTCTAGCACCGGATCATTTCATCCACATTACTGACTTTAACACAACACATTCTCCTGGTCAAGTTAATCCTTTAATAGCATTTGGAATTCAAACAAATGATACCGTTTATACTATAGAAGATCCTCTACCGGATAATGTTAATACCTCAGAAACAACTACAACTACCAAGTCTCGAAGATTCTTAATGAAGGTATCGAATGTTTCTGGCAAAAACAAAAATTCCAACAGATCTGATAATACAAAGCGTCCTTCTCTTCCTGACCCCACATCGAAGTATGTACTCTTCAAACTGGTATTAAAGTTCGGATATAACTTTTTTTCGTAAATACATATTGCCTCTCTTGATTATTCATTAGGCAAGATGAACCGTCACTATTGGATTGTATACAAATGCAATTTACTTCTGCTTGCCGTCATCATGTTTTCATCGTATTTGCCCGTTTGATATTAGTATTTGATCTCGAAATGAAACTGGTAATTGGACAAATAAATCTAGAAAGAAATCTTTCCCCTTTTATGCAGGTATGCAAACTCATTGAACTGATATTTTATGAAATTTATTTCATTTGTATTAGTTTAATTTTATTCCAGTTAGTGACTAAAATCTCTAATTATGTAGATATATTCATGCCGTCAGAGGAATGTCTTATTTTGCCTCCATGAAAACGGAAGTATATCTACAAGGATACGTCGAGTTTCATCATGGATTAGTTGCAACTCTCAAGATTCGAAATTTCACTTTTTAGATTCAGTTTCATTATCTCCTCGCTTAAGTGCTGATTATAGCAATTCTGGTCTTGCCGATAATGTTAGCGCAAACCCAGATGAAAGTGTAAATTCATGGGCTAGCCCAGAAGATATCATATACGATTCACACTATCAGACGGATTCTATTCGCATTACTAAAAGCTGTCGAGTAGTTGGATTCGGCTGTTCTCCCATCACTGAAAATGATGTCATATTACTCTTAAGCGATGGACGCCTGCTGAAATGGAGGCTAATGATAACCTCTGAAACATCCACTAAATCGAATCTATTTGACGCTTCCATTGTTGAGAGTGCGATATTCGCCAACGACAAATCAATGTACAACCTAGCGTTGCCAAAAATTAATGGTTAGACTTGTATAATCCTGCATTGTAATTGGAATTAGTTTTTATTAGAAGTTGCTAACAGATTTGTTTTCCGTTTAGGAGTAACTAATGAAATGGTCAACATCAAAGATACCCTGTGGTGTTGCTTATCGGACATGATTGCACCCCATTTTCCCATTCGTGTAAGTTATCATTTTATACTAGAATTAATTGGCTATATGAGAAAATATGACAACTCTCTTTGATCTACTATTCCATCAGCATTATGCCTCTGACGATATAGAAAAAATCCAGCAATATGTTATCGATGTAAAAATGATTATGACTGCTCTTTATTGCGGAAATTCTGTTAAACCCACCTGTCTTCGAATGTGCCCTCCGCTAACAACGAAAAACCTATCATATTATAAGCCGCTATTAGCTGTTGGTAAGACTAGTATTTTTCTATTTGGTTACTAACGTGTAGCCTGCTAGCACGGGAAAATTGTATTTTTTAAAATCCATCTTAACCTCATTCAGGTAACAATTCAGGCTATGTACATATTTTTGACTTATCTAATGGATTCCTTACTAAAGAATTCTCTGTTTTAACCGTGTCTATAAAGTATGATATTTATTTTAGCAAAGTTAATTTTATGTAGGGATAGTTACAATTTAAACGTCAATTTGATGTAGCATAACGTTAATTATGTTGTATGACCCTAGGGGAATTGAGTGGATTGGTGAGTGTAGACTACTGCTTTATGGTCATAGTAACACTTCCTTGAATTCAAATACTTACAGAAACGAAATAGTTATTCTCGACTTAAGAAATGGTTAGTATTGTAGATGTGTTATTCACTAAAAATCGATTCCGTTAGCTATAACTTTTAAATATACTACATTTTTAAGATTGTACAACCATTATTAGATATTAATGTTTCGAATTTTTTACGTTATTCTAAGGTTATATTAATAAAATTCGAAACTATGCTAATGACTCATCGTCTCTAGAATCAGTTAGAGTATCTCATTTGAGGTATTATTCGTTGCGAAACATAAAGTGCAATTATAATAAAATTGATTAATGCGTTTACAATGCACTAGTTAATAGCATCATACTTGCAGGCAATACTTCATCGTTTCTTTTAAAGATCGCCCGCTTGAAATTTGGGACTTACAAAATGGAAGTCTAATTAGAGATATGCCCAAAAATTTTCCTTATCCTACGTCACTAGTAAGCCAGAAATGAACATTATTAAATGTTGCATATAAACTTCTATGTCTAAATTATTTTATTTGTAAATGTTAAGGTATGGCACTCATCTAGCAATAAAAAAAAGCCTCAAAGTTCCGATACCTCGTCATCAATAGATTCAGAAAGTTCTATTACAATTGAGACTAACACATCTAATCAAGTACGATAATAAGATTTCAATTATAGTGATTAATTTAGCGACTTCATTTAATTCGTTACCTTTTCTAAAAATACTTTTATTATAGCAAGGATCGACAGTAGAGCATTTCGTTTACATTAGTGGAGAGGGTGTCTTGTATCATTTTATGATTAATGGAAATACAATTAAAGACGGATCGAAAATCCCCGGTGGTGTACGTAACGTTATCGGTTTATGTAACACTACCGCTTCCTCAACATATTGGTATGAAGTAATATCGTATTTATACTGTATTTCTGATGTACATTATCTAATAGGGAGGAGTTAGTACAGTTAACGATATGGTATGGAAGAACGATTTGATAATTATGGGAGATACTGATGGCTCCTTAATTGTTTGGGATCTTAAAGCAAGATTGTCAAGGTTTTTCTACTATTAGCTAATAATACGTAAATTATAAATTATTGATAGTAAACATATGGCTATAAACAACTTAATTGAAATATTATAGGGTAGTCCAATCACATCGTGGCAGCATTCGTCGACTACGAATATCTCCCGGAAAGGGCAATCTTAAAGTGGTTCTCTTATTTAACGATGGTGTAGATATATGGGATGCATTACGTGTACGAAAAATCATTAGAATTTTACTCTTATTTTACATCTGTTAGTATATTATCAACAATTACATCTAGCTATTTTGTAATAATTTTAGAGAGAATGTCTGCACAGTTTAAAGATTAGTAAAGGTGGACTGCAGATTATTGATGTTGATTGGGCTGCATCAGACAAAGTTGTCGCTCTGTATGAAGACGGATGTTTAAGAATTCTAGATGCTACATTAAATACGGCCACTTCTCCGATACCATCAAATGAAATCTTACCCTGTAAAATATCTAATTAGATTACAGTAATTCATGTCTATTCCGATTCGATCATGTTTCATTTATATCTGCTAAATTTTATTAGATACATCATTCAATGCGTACCTCATAGCGCCGAAAGTTTCCTTTTTAATTAAACAACTACTTCAACATCAGCCTTGGAATAAAACTTACGGATTTAAATCTCCAATTGAGTGAGTTAAGAAACACAGTAATTACATACTATTAAAGTTTTATTTAGATACGATGAAATTTATATTTTCTAGGGCTATTGAAACGAATGATAATGACTTAGCCGATGTAGTAATGCAACAACTGTCGCTATTACCAAAGTAAGGTTTACAATGATACACAACATTCATTAACCGAAAATTATTGCACATATGTGAAACTTTAACTGAAATTAAAACAAATATATTTTTCATTTTTTACTTTCAGTGGATTGACAGACTATGTAGAAAATGCACCTTTTGGCACCGCTCAAAGATGCTTAATTACTGCCAAGTTAGTCAAGAAATAAATATACGGCTGCAGTACATTCTTAAAATAATTAAGTATGCAGCTTCTAATATCACAACTTAATGTTATTTGCTGTAATCATGTGTAATAATTAGACTTTTTGGAGATCAAAGCGAAATTGAATTTTGGACGCTAGCTCTACATTATCTACGAAAAGCGCACGTAAATGATGATGTCGACACTAGTGCTAAATTAAGTGATTCATCCAATTGCAGTCTAGGTAAGCTAAGTTTTTGAAAAATTGTAAAATTTTTTATTAGAAATCAATCTATAAATGTACTTTGCTGTAAATAGATGCTTCGCTGGATACCTGTTACGATTTACTGCGCAATCGTAAAATCTTTCGGGTAAAATAACAGTAATTGTTTATGAAGCAGATAAGTTTATAATCTGTTTGATACGTAATTAAACGAAATATTGAGAGAGGTTATATCAAGTTGGCTTGGTGAAATCTAACGAAGTTAATTAAATTTTTTACGTCTTTTATTTTAGAAAGATCAATTGGAAAGAGCATTTTTACATGATGCCAAACGTACTTCTTATGCGCAAACAAACAAATGTGAATGTAACCTTATTCTACTTGGGCAGGTATATTATATACTGTAATTCATGAATCTATAAATTCTTTGAACAGATGTACTTTCAAATTATCAAAGTGAATGTTGATTTCGATGCAGTTAATTACTGACAGATAAGTGATAACTAACTCTATCTTTTTTTGTACGCACTTGTAAAGGTGGATCGTGCGATTAAGCTATTGCTTGAAACTAATCCCAGTGATGAAAATTATTACGCCGATTCTTTACGGTCAGCTACAATTTATACTTTACGGTGTTGTACACATTTTAAGTTTGTTTGCAACTCTTGACCGATACTTATTAATTTTTATGCTTTAAATCATAGAGCATGTCTTACAGCTACAATATGTACATCGGGTGCTGCTCAAAGTACTGTTAAGTTAGTTGCCACGAATTTAATAGCAAACGGTCGGCTATATGAGGGAGTACAGCTACTATGTCTTATTGGAAAAAATGTAGATGCATGTCGTTATTTGCAAACTTATGGTGAATGGGATAAAGCAGCTTGGTTAGCCAAGGTATATGGAATGTCTTTGGTTTATACTACGAATCTATATAATATTACTATAAAAATATAAAATCTCATACGTAAACCTATATCTGTACATTTTTTCATCATGTAGGCTACATTAAGCTCCAATGAATGTTTTGATATGTATAGACAATGGATAGATAGTTTACTAAATTCTACGCAAGAGGTCAGAAAAACTCAATTGCTACATTGATTTGATAGAATGGAAAGTGTTTCATCATAAAAATTTATTTTTCATTTATTTTAGGATCAAGCAATCTTAGTAGCACTTTCTTTATGCGATTTTACTAAAGTTTTGGAATTACTTTATAGGTAAGGAGTATTGTCCTATCATTTTTTTTAATTTAGGATTTTGATATAGTGTATAAAATCTTTGTTTTTCCTTTTCCAGTCTACGCCTTTTCGACAGGGCGATATTATTCCTAGAAGCCTGTACAGAATTTAAAGTTTTAGACATGGAATACAAACCTCTTGGTATCTAGATATGAAAAAATTTTAAATTAGTCACCTGTTTATATAGATTACAATCTTCCAATAGTTGGCTATCTATAATGTTTTCAACTCAGTTTAAGAAAATTTGCCCTTGCAATTAATTCTATCTTTTAGCAAAAATGGTTGACGTAATGTACGAAGAATATGCCAGACATTGTAGGCAAGTTGGTAACGAAGCAGCAGCGGAATATTACCAAAAGTTGATTACTACTATCTCTGAAAATGAGGTCGAGGAGACTTAAAATCGATAAAACTCTTCACCTAGCCTTAGTAGATGTTTATGCTAATTGGATCCATATAATATATTTCTGCGCTATCAAACGGAATACTCTATAAAGTTCGTGAATTTATACGGTAATACTTTTGTCAATTATATAGCATAAAAATTTTTTGCTCAATAAATTAGATACCTAAATGGTATATTTAGATTAAGATTAATATAATAATACTGAGAATCATGATCTGATGAATTTTACGCGGTATGTTTTGATCAATAAAGATATTTCGGTTAAAATTTAATTATCCTATATATGTCATGTATTTCATTTTATAGTAGATTTTTATACCTGTGGATTTAGAGACAGATTTTTACGAATTTAAATAGTAGTATTAAACTACTACAAGATAAATGAGGATATATATATGTAAACGTTATTACAAATTTCTAGTGCGTATTTATATGTCAAAACCTCTCTTGAAATTTGTTTGTTTACTCGTAAATATTATTTTTTATTCAGATACCCTGTTTATTGATTGGAATCTATAAAGTGTATAAGAATTATAGATGTATTATGCTTTCATGAGACAGCAGCTTTTCCTTTCATGAGTATACTGTACGTAACATTCCAATATAAGCGAACAGTGTTGCTAAATGTAATTAATTAATCCATTAATTAATAAAGTGCTTCAGAGCGAATTTTAAAAATAGTCATAATCTATTATTCGACGTCAGCATATTCAAGATTAGTTATCTTAACCTATACGCGTATATACTGTATACTGAAGGTTTAGACTTCTTTCACTTATAGTGGACAATATTAAACCTGTAACTCGAAACTTCAAGATAGATGCTTTATTCTCCAGAATACTGTGTCGCTTTATATGAAATCACAAGTGATTGAAATATTTACTTGCATGTGACACGTTTACTGTCAATACATATTGTAAGCGCTTTAAAATAAGCTGTGAATAAGACTTGCGTGATATCAGGTGTAGTAAGACAATTGTAAATATAAAAAATCGCCACTACAGTATTTATAAGATTGCGATAACATTTAAGAATTACGAATTTTAAAATGTACAATTTGATACAAGACACAGGCTAATAATTTGTTAGGCATCATCAAGAGATAAACAGAGATTATAAGAAATTAATTACTTTTTTAGCTATATCTATATCGCTAATATTTATACAATTTAATAGGTAATACGTAAAATGTTCAGTTTGTTTTTTACATTGCCGTTCTATTTTTATAGTGAGAATAAAGATCCGTTAAAGTTTTATTATTTTATATACTGTACTGCAACGATTTTTTTCGAGAATCTTTGTAGGCATCTATGACAATCAATTGATATAGTATTCGTACGTATTTATGTAAATGTTGTCTTAATTTTTCCAGTTTGAATATGACTGAGGAAGGTACGAAGTAAATTGGTATTTGCTAATGTCTTAAATATTTTTTAATCAGTAATTCATTAACTATTAATTATTGATAGAGGTATCATCAGCGATATGAGGGATAGTCGCTAGGCAGTCTGTGATGGCGTTTAAGCGTTCCAAACTGAAATATTAAATGTAATTGAGCAGATTAGTAGAACTACCTTAAAATTATAAAGATACAAATTTCAATAAATTCTATTGAAATAATGTTGATGCAATTTAAAGACTGCTTCGTTGATGTCTATACTAGATCACTTCATGTACGTTAGCTAATAGCTAATAGACGAGTACAGTATTGGCACTTTGTGTTACAATAATAGCAGCAATTGATGAAAGAGTTAAAAAGTATAATTTATTATTATTCTATCGATCCTAAGTCGTACTTGCATTCAATGTCATTGGACCTAGAATAGGAATGATACCACTGATTAGATTCAAAAATTGTAGCAAATGATGGATTCTGTACAAGTACAGTGATATAAGTTAGTCTTCATTTGTGAGTTAATACTTACTGTATTCTCATCTTTTCAATTTGATCTTTTAATTTTTGGGAATTCTAGATAATATTTCAGTAATCGTGTATAACATTATACATCGTAGTTGAGAAAGCATAATACGCGTATGATCAATTTCTACGTTCTATCACTTCTTCCCCTAATTTGTTATGCTATTACAATTGCTAAAAGTTGAATCGTTTAAGGCCTATTGAATACTCACATCCACTGCATTTTTCAAATGTATTTCTTGCATACAAGTATATTTAACAGCTTGAGTGATGCCCTTGAGATCGTAGATTATAATTTCACCATGTTATAACGTGTTATGATAAGTGGTCATCGTTATGATGACGTATATTTTACCACATTCACAATCAGTTGTCTTATTTTTTATTACTACATTTACTAACAGTATCATGCAATTACAGTAGCATAACACTATGCCGTGGAAATCATCTTAGGTCCGAGCTTATCACATCAGTACGCATCTATTAGAAATTGCGTATAATAATTAATATAATGACTGGCTCCGTAAGATATGGATAGTAATGGTAGACATTGTGGTCGCTATCATTGCATGTCAAATGTCAATCTGGTATGCAATAGATCCTGTTGACTAGGTAATCTGGTAAGCGAGCACATGTTATTTTGCATTTACTTATATAACATTAACATGAGTGTATTGATTTTATTAGTTGTTAGTATCCTCCATTCATCATTCTTTAGGTTTAATAAATGGATAATCATCCATTTTTATACTAACTTCGTTAGTTTTCCATCCTGGCTGTACATGTCTAGCTAACTTTCCAGTCTCTAAAATGGCACTTTGCATCTTGCTGGTAAGCTTTTCTCGAATAGGAAGATTCGATGCCATGATCAATACTTTTAAAACAATTTACCTATTCTGTTTTGATTGCACTTGTGGCCTTCAAGAAGTCGCAATCAATCACTCTTCGTATCTGCAGACTTCCATCAGCTGGTCGCCCACTACTTTACTGGATAAATAGTCAAGATCCTTTACTTTTTTTATAACATGGCCGTATAAGATCGAGGCTTATGATGTAAATTGTGTAATATGCACTTGTTTAGTATGTAGTGTGCGTGGTCCTATAGTAGATCTAAGACTATCAAACACGATATGTAGATGTTTCAGGATTGAAGATGGAAGATTTTAAAGATTTTATTGCAAACACGCCCTACAGGATCGAACCGGTACGTAACCTATGCGTATTACTGCGCATGTCACACGAGAGCAGCGCATTTTGTTATTTAACTGTCAATCGTCGACAGGATAGTGTACCATGCAGATATACAATACACTTGAAATGACCAGAAAAGTGAAGGATCATTTCGATTCCCTTTCATTTTCGTTCTAAATAAGTACATACAGTACTGTATGTGTATTTAATAGAAGTATTTACCCGAGTCTTTAGTCTATTTTCCCTCTATTTTTCTTACTAATAAAACATGTCTATACTGTATGTTAAAATTGAACTGTCCATCTTGTTACTATATTGGTGAAGAGAAGGAAAAAACTGCCACTGGAGAAAGAATTTGGGCCACATTGAGTATGAAACTATGAAAAAAAGTTGATTAATCTCGGACTGTCGTGACCAGTGTACAGTACTGTGTACTGTACAGTACAGTACAGTAGTACTGTACACTGTACACTGTACGGTACGGTACAGTCCAGTACTGTCCCGTACTGCTACAGTCGCGGAGTACGCTACAGTGTACAGTACAGTACTGTACTGTACAGTACGGTGGCGAGTAAACTACGGAATGGAACGGAACGCGGATGCGCACTTCAGCTGACTGTCGTGATCAGTGTACACTGTACAGTGTACAGTACTGTTCTGTAAGTAGTACTATACAGTGTACTGTACTGTACAGTACACTGTACGGTCCAGTCCAGTCCAGTCCAGTACTGTACTGCTACAGTCAAGGAGTACGGTACTATGTACTGTAGCTGTGTATTGTGGATACTGCACCGTACTGTACGGTACCATACCGTACAGTACTACTCAAGAAGAGTACAGTACACAGTACTGTACTTTACAGTATTGTATACTGTACTCTACCGTTCCTTTTTCAATACCGCAACATTCTGCTCGTTTCAGTACCATAGTATTACGTACCATACAGTAGGTAGCAGTAGGTACGATACATTATACTATCGTACAACTACAGATGTGTACTAAACGGGACAGTCACTCACGTCCTTCAAACGTTTCGACGTGAATTGTGGGAGAGGAATTGCTTTCACAACTTTCATACTTTGATGCTAATTTAATCCAGAAAAAGGAGAAATAAAGGAAGAAAGCAGGAAAATGTCTTTAACAGCCGCTGCCGCAGAAACTGCTAATAATAATAATCGTGTTACAAGGGAAAATTGGAAAAAACAAAAAGAATTAGAAGAAGCTAGAAAAGCGGGTACAGCTCCAGCTGAGGTAGATGAAGAAGGAAGGTAAGCATGAATGATAGTATTAGTCAAGTCAGCCTTCAATTTCATATCCAAATAATCCATTGGAATAGATCCATCCAGGATGTAGAAAGTTAATTGACTAAACAAGTCTATAGTATATGCTCAATATTAGCCCACAGACTAGTGTTGTAATATGCCCAACTGTGTCTCCATCGTAAACTTGATTCGATAGCCACAGTCTCTAATAGAGCGAATAGACGTGTCGTGCAAGTACAGATTCTACAACGACACTGTACAGGAAGACCGTCGATAGAATAATCTGTACAGCATAGATTGATAGTAATAATTCACTTTTTGGCTTCTTTGTAACATTAATTGATCAGAATAGTTACTAGCATCAGTGCAGAAGGATTTATATGAGTACAAAGACCCTATCTTAAATCATTGTACTAATGTCAGTAATCTTATCTAATAAGGTAATCACTAATGTGTACAGTAAATTACCAATGCATAAGATCGTTGTGTATAAATATTAGCCCACAGACTAGTGTTGTAACATGGCCAACTGTCTCCATCATAAGTTTGATTCGATAGCGACAGTCTCCAATAGAGCGAATAGACGCATCGTGCATGTACTGTACAGATCCTACAATCACACAGTACAAGAAGAGTGTTAATGGAAGAATCTGTACAGCATAGATTGATAGTAATAATTCACTTTTGGCCTCATCCAGACATATTCATTGAACTGTTATGGCTATTAATCATGATGAAAATGAGATGAATAGAAAAAATTATCACTGCTACATAGGATTGAATGATGTGACTCTTTCTATTACAGAGATATCAATCCTCATATCCCCAAGTATATCAAAGATGTTCCTTGGTATTATGGCATTAACAGGTATCAAGTGCCAAATTAAAACTACTGTAGATCTTGATAGTAGAGGTTAAAGGCGTCTGGATGATACGATACATTATTGTTACGATATCGTCAACAGTTGTTCATCTTGTATATTAGACCTTCTTTAAAACATCAGAGAATCCAAGGAGAAATCGAGCAGGATTCCTCTCCCTTGAATGATTGGTATCGACGTGGCACACAAAAGGTTTTAAAACTCCTACTTATCATCTAACATACAGCACATTAATTGCCTGTTGTAAATCATAAATACTTTGATACAATGACCAAGTCAATATTTTTATCGTTACAAATAGAAGTGTTTTCCTTAATTGGAAGATATAGCGTCATAGTCTATCACATCTCTAGTAATTAATCTTCGATTTCATATCTTTAACATAGGTTGCGGCTAAAAAATTTCGTAAAGGAGCCTGTGAAAACTGTGGAGCTGTAACACACACTAAAAAAGAATGTACTGAGGTAAAATTGCCCTTGTAGTCTTAGACAGTGAACATGTCTCTAAACTTGTTGTTATCAAGTCATATCCGAAATATACTAATACGCTATAAATTGAACTGGAATGCATTCCCTATGATTGCCTAGCCTCCATCGCCTAACAATATTCTCTGATCTCTTTCTTGAACAGCGACCACGCCGTATTGGTGCAAAATTTAATGAGAAAAATATTAAACCTGATGAATTCGTACAACCAAAGCTACAATTTGACTATGATGGAAAACGTGATCGATGGAATGGTTACAATCCCGATGATTATAAACAAGTTATTGAAGAATATGCCAAGATTGACATGGTATGACGAAATGTTATGGAAAGATCTTTATAAATGCATTATATCCAATTAATCATCGAAGTGGTATCATCAGTCAGTTTAGTTTTGAAAGATCAATAACTATCATAAACGGATCTACCGATATTAAAGCTGTCCTTAAGTAGTCTTGTATTCTAATACAATAACATGATTTTCTTTACAATAATAGGCAAAACGTCAAATGAAAGCTGAAAAACTCAGTAAAGAATTAAATGCTGATGAAGAAAATAACCAAGAAAAGAATGTACATGATGAGGTGACCATAGCTATATTATATTTTTCATAATTTGGATAAGCTTTATGGTTATAATATAGGATTAAAATAATTTACTTGTGATCTTGGTGAAATTGCTACACTATTATTGTCAACTACATCTAACAGGTTTAAACTAATTGAAAAATATTAACTCCAGAGTGATAGTGACAGCGATGCTGACAGTGATAAAGATGAGGACAAATACGCGGAACAGGCTGATATGCCTGGAACAAAATTTGACTCTAAAATGTTAGTATAAAATATGAAACTACCTCACTCAACTCCTTCTTATCTATTCATCATTTTATCAATATTCCTTCTCCAACAGACGTATGACAGTTAGAAATCTACGTTTACGTGAAGACACTGCAAAGGTAAATGAAATGATTTACAAAGTTCTGTGATACTTAAATAGCATACAAGTACTCGTAGACGTGAAAAGACTTTAGTTCAAAAACAGATGTACTACAGCTTCCATCTCTTTTACAGTATTTACGAAATTTAGATCCAAATTCTGCCTTTTATGATCCGAAAACTCGTTCTATGAGAGATAATCCTTACAAGCAAACAGGAGATAATCCTGAAGAGTAAGAATTCTTCAATTAAACATATCCATAACATAAGTAACCTTCCCAATAAAACCATGTTAGTGTTAGTATTATTTCTGCTTGAATTTCGTTATAGAAGTTGTTAAATCATTTTTGAAAATTCTAATAAACCATAGCTTGCCATACGCTGGTGATAATTTTATTCGACATTCTGGCGATACCGTCGCAATGGCAAAATCTCAATGTAAGATAGATTAACATCTCCAGTGCTGACTCTGGTTGATGCATTTTATATAATTCTAATATTGGTATTCATAAGCGATTGTGCTTAAATATTTTATTATATTCTAGTATTCGCATGGGAAGCTTACAACAAAGGGGTAGATGTACACGTTCTAGCTGAACCAACTAAATTAGAATTATTGAGAAAAGAATTTAATGTTCGCAAAGATGATTTTCAAGATAATAAACAGAAACGCATTCTTGAAAAGTGAGTACTATTTATTCTAGCAATTGATCTGTATAATTTATGCAAGTAGCTTATTGGACTATCACCACTACTCATTTACTAATAGGTACGGAGGTGAAGAACACTTGGATGCACCACCCAGAGATATGCTTCTATCACAGACGGAAAATTACGTTGAATACTCGCGATTTGGTAATATGATTAAAGGACAAGAAAAAGTAACCATCAGATCAAAGTATGAAGAAGATATCTTAATAAACAATCACAAAGTAAGTATTAGATTCATACGATGGCATGCTATTGAAATATACATTAAAGAGTTTTTTATTTAATTGTGATAACTTAATCTTAGACTGTTTGGGGATCTTACTGGAAAGATGGAAGATGGGGTTATGCTTGCTGCCATTCCTTTATCAAAATGTCGTATTGCACGGGCTCACTTAATCAACAATCACGATTGGAGGCTGTAAATGAGATGTTGGAACTTCCTACAGAAGCTGAACAACCAAAGTCACTTGTAGAGGTATAACTCGCTACTATAAGAATTACATAATTCCATACTTTAAAATCACGCGTACGTCCGCTATAGAGCCATGTACTTTATTACATATCGTTAGTTATAGTTCAAAACTGAGATAGTAGTATTACTACAAGGTAACGTTAAAATATATTATTCATTGGGGTAAATTGTACATTAGATTCATCAAGAAAACATGAAGACTAAAAAGATTAAACGTAAAACGAGTGAGGCCGACGATGCAGATAATACTCTAAAGAAAAAAGAAAAATTAGCTAGTGCTATAGAGGCCGAGATCAAGAACCAACAAAATGCCGAAAAGATGCTGTCTTTGGACGAACGTAGGAGACCATATAATCCGATGGAGATAAGTGTACACGAACCAACTGAGGAAGAAATGGAGGCTTATAGGTTAATGAAATCACGTAGCGACGATCCAATGGCAAAATATTTGGAAAAGAACAAAAAAGTAAAGTAAAATAATCCTCTGGAACTGTACTATAAATTTCTCTTAATATAATTGCTAATCGTATACTGTATTATAGAAATCGAACCAATCGTTACCAATTTTTGTTAAATATACAATTTATTCAAGATGCACTGTTAGTACTGATGCAATCATTGAAATAGTTAGATATAAATTTGCTTCTAAGTGCTGCAGTAAATCAGTATGATTGCTGATTGTCATAGTCTTCGATCGCGGTTACTATGAATAGCGAAGGGGGAAAAATCTATGATTAGTTCTGTAAGCCTGCGAAAAGTTACTGTCCTATGTAGAAAATGTGACTTATCCATCTTGTCATGATCAGACGATGGTATATAATTTGTTGATCTTGTATATTGCACGTCAAATCTAACTCGGTCTATTCGAACAAATTGCATCATTTGCGATCACGGTACAGTATTAATCTGTTACATTAAATATTTTACATTGTCTACATCATAGTACTGTAGTAGTGGAGCACCGTACGAGCTGCTATTATCACTTTCAAGATCAGCAATAACGATGTATTTTCATTTAATTTTACATGAAGGCGATAATCTTTATTGCTTGATAGATTAATTCATTGTTGAGGGTATAATTCAATAAACAAACTAATGCTTCCAAATTATTGCAATCCTGAGCTTAATGCAAATTTAAACAGACTATTGACTATAATAAAAAACCGCTACAGCTTCCCAGCTTTTTGCATAGCCTATAAACGGAGTTGAAAACGAAAACAAAACATCAGCAACGCCCCGAGAAATTGAGCCTTGATTTAATACAATCAACTCTTAATAAAACCTTTACTTTCTAAATATAAATTACCTCTTTAATTGTTGAACCAATTCGCGCAGGAGACTTAGTGACTACTACTCCGGCACCTTCAAGAGTTGCAATCTTCAGTTTTAAGAAAATAAACATGAAGTAAGCTTAGTCACGATATCATTACGAATTTTGAATTTTCGTGGCAAAGAGAATTAGAATCGAACCTTTTCTTCGGCGCCACCTTTGCCTCCTGAGATGATTGCTCCAGCATGCCCTGAAGAATGATACGAATGTCAGTTACGGTCATACGTCTAGTACTAGCTATATCTAGGATAGGTCAAAGTTTGGTTAAAAAATAATTTCTTTTGTTAGCTTACCCATACGTCTACCAGGTGGGGCAGTAATTCCAGCAATAAATGATACAACTGGCTTAGCATTTGGGCCCTTATTTTAAAATAGAGTAGGAAATTACAGTACATAATCAGTAAAAATAGAAATCTCAAATGCTTTAGCGCTACAAACAGGTAACTAACAGAGTTATGTTTGGCTAAAAATTCAGCTGCTTTCTCTTCAGCTTCTCCACCGATTTCACCAATTAAGACAATACCTAACAATAATATAATTGATATAACCTATTATATAATACTCTGGATTATCAGGAAGAAAGATAACCGAGATGATAGGTAGAAATCACTGTCAGTAAGTCAACAACGCACCTTCAGTCTTGTCATCTTTCAAGAATATATCAAGACAATCAATAAAATCTGTACCATTAAATGGATCTCCACCAATACCTATAAAAGTTATATACATTAAATTAGAAAGATCAATAATAATAATAACTGCATGACTTATGATATCGATACTGACCAACACATAAAGTCTGTCCAAGGCCGACATTAGTGGTCTGGAAAACAGCTTCGTAAGTTAAAGTTCCAGACCTCGAAACAATTCCTCAAGTAGGACAAAATATAAATACACACATTACAAGTTGTTTTTCTCATTCGTGTCTCAACAAATATCATTACGTCAATACAACGTTTTAGCTTACCAATTCTACCAGGTAAATGTATATGAGCAGGCATAATACCAATTTTGCAATGTCCAGGCTAATTATGGGTTGATTAATAAATAGTTAGATTTAGCAAGTAAAACGACCTTAGCATATTGGTATGGCATAAACTATTTTTAGCATATTTCATAAAATTTGTATTAATGTACTCACTCTAATGATACCAGGGCAATTTGGTCCTATCAATCTAGATTTATCTTGTCGAAGTATCTTATGCTTTACCTAAGATTATTAAATGGAAGTTGTCTCAAAATGAATAATAAGTTATCCCAGAATCTAAGATAATAGTATCACACTATAGATAATATTATACCTTCACCATGTCTTGTTGAGGAATTCCTTCAGTAATGCAAACAATTAAACCTATCCCTGCATCTACAGCCTCATGGATAGCAGCTGCTGCCCCTTGAGGGGGAACATAAATCACCGTTGCCTCAGCTCCAGTTGAGTCCACCGCCTAATCCAATTTTTACAGAGTATAAATAATTTATTATAATGATTAGATAACTTTTAGAACAAAGATAGCATCATAGAGAATGAAATCTTGACGTTTATCATAAGCAATAGACAACTATCATAAGTACGTATATATGGAGTCAATAGCGTACCTCTTGGACAGAGTTAAAAACAGGTAATCCTAAGTGGGTTTTACCACCTTTACCAGGAGAAACTCCACCAACCATATTGGTGCCATAAGCGATTGCTTGTTCACTATGAAAAGTACCCTATTATCAGTAGTAAATGGAACAGAAGGAGTGAATTGTAGTTCCTTGATTGTGGAAAGTTTTTAATCTCTATCTCTCTTGAAGTAGAAGTGACTGAGCAAATTGTATTTTAAATTAATTGAGACTAATTGGTAGTGAATTGCGCGAACATAAAAACTGTAATTTCTTGATTGTGCATGGCTTTTAATCCAGATCTCTCTTGAAGTTGTAGTGCCTACTCAAATTACATTCTGAGCAGAATGCGACTACATCGCTAACCTGTCGACCAGTGAAACCTTGACAAATTACTCGGGTCTCCTTTCCAATCATAATATTGCCTCTTGTTGCTTCTGTGCTGAGGCTTCTTATGTTCTGGCTTACGCGTCGGAGCACTAAACGCAAAGAAATTACATGATTAAGTTTTAGATACATATTATGCTCGCAATCCTGCAATCGTATGCATTCTTTAATATGAATATGGTTTCTGTATAATAATATATATAATAAGCAACTACAGTACAGTACTTGCTATACTCCGAGATTCCTGAGGTTGGATGTAGCCATTATTAAAGTAAGTTGAAATATCTGTACAGTACATGTAGCTTGCTGTCTAAGATACAGTCATCTGTAACTGCAATTAACTGTATTAATTACAATAATTACATATCAATTACATCAATCATAAGTAGCTAGTACTGTACTATACAGTTATGTATGTTGAAGTTGGCAGTCATGGTTTACGATCTCAAAATACACAGTGAGCAATGATTACAATGAAGTATGACTATATTCGTAACAGAGTTAATTTTCTGGCGTAATTTACGCTCAATAACCCAATCTACTATTAACTCGACAGTGTTATACATTACTGATGAATATTGTTGCGTCTACTCACGACGCCGTCTGTACAAGTGTACATCTCTTCCACAGTACTGTACAGTAGTAAGCAGGCAGATGAAGACTCAAGATTTGATATGAAATAGAGAACTAGCAGTCAGAGTAATGATATTAAAGAGTTCTACAATTCTCTTTATCATCCAATTGCAGTAACAACGATAAAACGCGATGCCATACGTGTTAAGCAAGATCAAATTTCCTACTCTACCAGCGTCAAGTAAAAAATTCAATGTAACTCATACGGAATACTAGCTACAGCATCACGGTATGTTCCGTTCTACCCGTCTACAATATAAATTGAACAAGGTAGGAGGTATCGATAAAAGTATCATCAAGGCAATTCTTTATAACATTACGCTTTTTCATTTTCTGAACATGTTTCAATATCATACTGTGCAAGATTACTTGCACAACACTGCTTACCAGCTCTATTCAATAGTCGAAGAGTAGCCATGTTGCTGCTGCCACCGTATCCTCTTGCTTCTTGTGCCTTTGCCCACACACGCGCAATGTGCCGGGCCGGACAGGACTCATGTCGGTGGAGGAAAGTCTGTACGTCCGTACAGACCTCTACACTGTCCAGTCTACAGTATAGGCTGAGATATCAAAAAGGACGATGTCACCTGTGGCAGCTCTACCGCCCTACTGTAGGCAGTACTCTCGGCAAGCCATAGGCGACATTATTTTTGCTATGGTCGAAAATAAGATGAGATGACACGGTAAAGTTGCGGTACAGTGTAGTATAAATTACAGGATTTCAGCCTACTGTAGACTACAGTACTACATCTGTTGTAGCGAGCAGTACAGTACTGTACGTCCAGTACTGTAGTAACAGGCAGCAGGCAGACATCTGTTATGATTCCTGTAGGTGCATAAGGTTAAAACCGGGTCAACCACCGCGGCTGGCCAGCCCGTCGAGCTCGTCTCGTCATCTGCCGATGTACAGTATACAGTACTGTACTGTACAGTGTACAGTACTGTACCAGTACACTCATTATACCGTAGAGTACAGTACAGTACAGTACGGTAGTGAGTGGGTGGATTGATACCCTTGTACCGTACAGTGTACAGTGTACAGTGTAATGTACCAGATGTATTGTGCACTGTACACTGTACAGTCCGACGGATTCTGCTCAGTGTTGTGTGCTCAATGTCCATACGATTGAAGCACCGAATAGACTACAACCGTACAACGTAAAGAGAAGAACGGGGACTTCCAACAACATGGAAAATTTCATTAAACTAGGTAGAAAGATTGTTGCTGTGGCTAGAAATTACAGGAAACATGCTGCTGAATTAAATAATCCTGTACCAGAGGAACCAATGATCTTTCTTAAACCGACAAGCTCGTATATTCAAGAAGGAGAGGCTATACGAATCCCACCAGGATGCAATCGTTTATTTCATGAAGTTGAGTTAGGTATAGTCATTGGTAAACGGGGCAGCAATATCCCTTATAACCATTATCTCGACTATGTGTATGGCTATATACTAGCTTTAGACATGACAGCTCGCGATTTAACTGAAGTAGGTCTTCCGTGGAATATAAGTAAAGGATTTGATACGGCATGCCCAGTCAGTAAACTAATTACTAAAAGTGCATTAGGCGATCCTCATAGTGCTCGACTGTGGCTCAAAGTAGATGGGATTATGAAGCAAGACGGAAATACATCCGATATGGTCCATAATATTCCCAAATTAATCAGTTATATCAGTCAATTTATGACTTTAGAACCAGGAGATGTCATTTTAACAGGTACTCCAGATGGAATTGGACCAGTTATAGCCAATCAAAATATTACTTGTGGAATTAATGATGTACTGCAAATGTCCTTCAATGTCGAGTAAAGATTTCCTACGATATGCTATTCCTCCTACCCGTGGATGAATTAATTAATTTATTGACGTGTAGGCCTGCTGCCCATACAACTGCATAAACTCATCACTAATGTCTTATATAGAGAATAAAAATTGAAAGAATACATTCTAAATTGTATTCTATAAAGTGCTATGCTTCATTTTAGAGCCACAATAATACAACAACATCATGCATTTATTTCTTGTGCAAATCTGATAACGCTCTAACAATTATAATTATATAGTATATATTATGCACTTTATGCTGGCTGATGAGGTCAATTAATTATGGTTATACAGTACAGTACTTGTACTTTTTTATTACCACTACTACAATGCTATTCTGTGAACGATATTTGTCGTATCAATTCAAATTTTCTATGTTGTACATGTTCATGTAATTAAATCATGAAACTGTTTGCTACTATCTATGTACGATTGGCAAACAATAAACCACTAGCTTGATCGATACATTTCAGTAAAATTCTTATAGCTCTATCAAAGCCGTAGCTTGGCAACACAAACTTCCAAAATTTGCTATCAACTATAGTATTTGTATTACAGTATATGGTAAGTACAGTACAGTAAATGGTGTGCAAACTTTTCCTGATAAAATATCAGACCTGGCTCGCTCTTACTTATACCGCAGTGCGTCAAAAACGTACACGATGCCAATTGGCTAAATTAGCTCAATCTAGTTTGATGCGGTAGATCAGGGTATATACAATTCTAATACACTTTATAATAACGTTGGTCTACAAAACGCCGATTTGGAATGCAGCATACTCGAGTAGAATATATCAAATTGAAATGCTCACTGAAACCTTCATTGAGATAGCATTCTCAATATCCGAGAATTGCTAACTTGCATACAATAAAAATAACACGATAATTACAATTGTTGTACGTACTTAGACAACAAAATACTGTATTTATCTGCGACAAAGTAGCCTCCTTAGAAGTAGGCACATGAAACATAAATACCTTAAAAATCTACCGCCAGTTAGCATCAATAGTTGACTAATTCATTTATATGAGTACCATAATAATAATAATAATAATAATCTTTATAAGCCAACACATTGTCATTTAAAGTTGCAGATAGTTTAGAGTACCACAATACAGCTTGGAAAAAAGTAGTACATGCGTGTAATTTGCTTTTTGTATAGACAAAGTATATTGTTAACTTTCGTTTATAAAATGTTAAATGGAATATATTTCATATACATCTACATAAATTTGAGATTTTCGTATACATCAATATTTATGATGTACACATGCGATATTTACAAATATATTGAGAGCAACGATTGAGTTCTAACAAATACCCTAATAAATTCGTTATTGATAGTAATGGGTAATTCAGCTAATGTCTTGTAATAAACCAACTAAATCACTAATACGAAAGAGCTGGAATGGGTGTACGTAGTATTAAAACAACGAATACAAACCACTTGATAGCGAGATAAAAAATCATCAACGAATCATTGCGTATTTTCTTTGAAATAAGATGACTTCGAATAATACGGTAACTTTTTGCATAATATTGAATACATTTATAGATCGATAACAATACTGTCTTTATAGTATAGAGAGGTAAAGATATAAGTAATGGAAGTTATCGCATAATAACGTAAACTTTCCATATGCCCAATGCTACATCTAAATCCAGTATTCCAATAAACAGCCTATCTATTAACCAAAGTAATTTATAGCTTAGACATCCGCAGGTGAATTATTAGGCGATTTGCAGACATCTTTTACCCATTTCTTTTCCACATCGCGCTCGATCTTATTAGAGCGGTGTCTAATAAGAGTCCACGTTCCTGTAACTATCACTAGGACCATAACCGAAACTATAGACACAATCCCAATGATCAATCCTAAGATGCAGTGACTATAGACATGCCCAGGCAGATTGCAACTTAAACCTTTGCAAGAGGTATTTGTGCTATTATTCGTTACAGTTTGATGTAGTTGTGATCGAGTTGGCTGTCCGTTCCCAGAAGCGCCCCAATCGATCGATGACATTTGATGAACTGATTCAGTTCCGACCAATTCTATGATAGCAATCATTAATTATTAAATTTCATCTTAGAAGGCAAGTGAAACAATGAAGTATAAATTCTGTAATTGCTAAATAGTGTATCTAATATCCACGTTAACACAAAAAGAATACGAACAATTTTACTTACTTGAGCTCACAGTTAAATAAACAAAAGCTGACAGCATCTTATCATGGCCTGAACAAGTGACAACGCACAAATATTTGCCATGATCTTGAAGTCTAACGGATCTAATGATCAAATGATCACTATCTGTAATTATTAATAGGGAATATTAGCTATTTTTTGTATGATCGCTATCTTACAATCAGTGAAAGCAAGCGCATCCTTAATCGAAAATAGCGCACCCTTATTTATTTCTACAAATGGTTGGGTTTGCATTAATAAATTACAATGCAGCGTATTTATGGTTATGTATAAATTTTACTTACTGTTTCTCGGAAGTAGCTTGTAATATAAGTCAGGGCGATCTGGAAGGTAAAATATACTTTCACCAATTTGTTCTTGCTTAACCTTACTAGCGTCAATGGACTTTAACCACTTTACTAAACATTCTTTTCTAGGTCTAACTTTGCACGTTAGATTTACTGTATTTCCAACAGTAGCAGTAACATTATGCGGCTTAACGATGAAAGTGGGTCGGTTGCCATCGCTCACTAAAAATATAATAACCAATTCTTAGACGACATCTATAAGAATCAGAGGTAACTACAAGAGAACTTACTGTACAAATTTTACAATTTCGTTAGCTAAGCGTAGTTTTAATCGCTTAAAGCCCACTAAATGCTACTATCTTTAATTAAGAACACATAAACATCTCATATATCAAACTGTACAGTGTACAAGCTATCGAGAACAGGCTTTTAAAGTAAATAGCCGTGCGTTCAACGGGAATATTTAATGCAGTAGAGTAGTTTACATGCACGATATTGAACGAGGGATTATAACGACGAAACTAACCTTCAACACGGACGGTGAAGTTGAAACTGGATTTACCAACTTTATTCTTCGCGTTACACACGTAGATACCGGAATCACTCGGTTTAATACTTCGTATAACCAAGGATGCTCTTGTTTTATAAACGTTACTATTAAGGTTATCCAAATCTTTATGGTTTACGATTCGACTGCCGTTATAGTATGTCCACTTTACAGTAGGTGTGGGAATTCCGTATAACGGACATATCAATCGGACTTTCTGACCACTCTTGAAAGTGTAATGATTATAGCTGACTTTCGTAAGAGACGGAGGAACTAAACGTAGTTACAAAAAGATACAAGTTAGTAATCATGCATAATACAATACACAGGCTTATTTTTACAAAACTAGCTTAAGTCGATTGTAAAGTACTTCTCCTTCCTCATTATACACATATGCAAAAATAAAATTAAAAATAAAATTCCTGCAGGAGAGCAATTGAAAGGATCAATGGCTTTGTTCAGTTATGTAATATAGCGTTAAAATAAGTTGCTATTGTTATTAGGTTACCATATCAGGCAATTTACAATATTGTTATCAAGGTTATGTAACTAGTAGTCAAACTATGTAACAAATATCAAAGTACTGTATATTCAGCTTTTAGTGTCGGACAACCATTAATTAATCAAGCAATACTGTAGTACTGATGAATTATTGCAAAAATTACATTTTACATTATTTAATTGTATAAAGAGGAATATTAATAAAAAACTATGATTTACAGACAGCCTGATAGTAATCTTACCTTTTTTATCGCTCTTCGAGGAAAATCCTTTCATAATAAGATCAAAAGCAAAAATAAGTGCAATGCAAATTATAAGATCTTACATATTGCATTTCTAAAACAATAAGGGCAAACAGAAATCTCTCGTATAATCCTCTACAAGCCTATCCATGCTTGCTGTAACTTTGTTATTAAACTCCAGTCTAAGATGCATATACGTATATCAATATATATAGTACTCGTATCTACATATATACCATTATCTGTTTCTTACCTACAACATTTACAGCGAAATCATGGAAAATATAGCCAAGGCGATTCTTAGCCATGCAGGTATAGATACCAGTATCACCAACTTGTGTTTTATTTACAACCAAAACATAATCGCCTTCAAATGAATATCGATCCCAGTATCTTTCAATTTTAACGTGGTTCCTATACCATTCCAAAGTCGGTTTAGGGGAACCAGATACCTCACATTGCAACTTTACATGATAATTTTCAACTACACGCATTGAAGAAGGTAATTCCTTAATAAATCGTGGAGCCATTTCTTGAGCCTGGCAATCTAAGGTAAGTAAGTAACAAATGCATTTTAATATTGACTGACTATTGACACGGTTACAGCATTACGGGATCGTATCATAATATACAGTATACGTAGTTTTATTTATTTATAATAATAATTCCCGAGTTATGACGTGCTTTGCATTTACAAACAAGAGCATTTCATTTCAAATTCTCAGTAGAAATTAGGTGTAGCATATATTGGATAGCAAATAAAATAATATTTGCATGTTCAAAGGTGTATTACTTATACTCAATAAGTGACTGCAATATCTGTGAGCAGTATCTTAGAAATTAGAATGCACCATATAAGCGCTGTACCTTAACTCATGGTTAATAATTGCACGCACAGTCAGCACTACTAAAGAGTGTAGCAAAAATCAATCTCCCATCTCAGTATATTGTACAGTACTATCCTCTACTAGCGTCAGTAGTGGATTGTATTTATAATTTAACATTTACTGGAATGTTCATCTTCGAGTAGGTTCATTAATTTAAAGCTCGTAAGTTAGATATAATATTTGAGCAACTTTAAATTGTCAATGATTTTAACAATAGCTCCTGCTCTTGGAGCAATCGCAAATACGAATACATTTTTAACTGAAGAGATATTATTAAATATGTCCAGTGTACTGTAACTTGAGTCACGCAAGACCTTCTTAAGGCCTTAGTTGGCGAGTAGGCTAAGTAAATTACTCCATTTTAAAAAATTTTACTATTTCTGTATCATTCGACTATACTATAACTTATCATAACTATCATAAGTCCTTCGTCAATTCTCCGCTGGCGACAAGCAAGTTAACAGAAGATTCTGTAAACGGCTCCACAATACTTCCTAAATGTTCTCATCTCACATTGTCAAGTGACTTGATTCTAATTTTTACCTCGTATTGAATATGCTGGTTGACCAAATAACGCACATGACTGTTAACTATGAAGTTTTATGGTGGATCACTTTGATTAAACTGTTAGTAAAATACAGTATGCCAGAAATCAGATATTTTGACTATAGTAGACAGTACTACGTCTGTCTATACGATTTCTATTAATACAGTGAAAATAACAAAGAAGAAGAATGTAAAGGATCGAAAATTTTTAGTTACGATTAATGTAAAAACAAATACCCATCCTAAGTCTCACTTTCACAGTTCTTTTAATACTGCAAGCTTGTTACAATTCTGGTTACAATAACATACATGAGCACAAAAAAAATCCACTCAGGTAGCCTAAGTGCAAAGTACAGTATTGCACCGTACGCAGTGAGCAATATTTCTACGGACAATATCACGATCGGTTTCTACCTTCGAGGTTGTTCAATAATTAATTTTACTGATACAGTAGCAAAATTTCAGTTTCCTCATTGTTAAGTTAGTATTTACTTTTATCGATCGATTACACTAGCAGGACGCACTAATCATTGCCAAGATGTTCAATTTTTACATCTGCTGCATTAAATTATCTGGTTGAATACCGCGTAAGTGTAGAACTGCACGCTTATTCACAGTACTAGAATTTTAATGTCGGTCATCCGCGCGCGCTTGATGATAGAAAAGTGCATTCCTGTGATAATTCTATCCATCAAATTAATAAAACACGGTGAGTCAGGACTAGCCCTCATGCACTGTAGTAGTACCGCAACATAATTAGCCGCCTACTTTATGTGCGACGATGACACTAGTAATCGATTTCACCACAAATAGTCAGTATCAAGTGTATAAACTTGAAACAGAACCGACTCTACCTAGATAAAAATGATAGCTTTCAATGGATAGTCATGAAAATACAGTAAAGAAGGGAAACACTGTGCTGCGGCTATTGGCCCACCAGCTCCCCATCATTCAGTAGGTGGTACAATAGAGTATGTAATGCATCATGCAGTCATGGTAGGAATGAAGGAATTTAGAATTAACAAAGACAATTCTATCCACTGATCTAATTTAATTATCCATTGAACCATCTTGATCAGTTAAATCATTTTTATCAACTTACGCAGGAAGGCCAAAGTTAGGCAGTAATAAACGATTACGCCTAAATGGAAAAATTGAGCTACAATAACTTGCTTCATTGAGGCGACAAAAGTGTTTGTGACAAGGAGGAATAGTGTCCACTCTATCCAAAATTGGACGATCGTAAGAAGAAAGTAATGCCAAAATACAAAGAGAAGTTTGGATTAATCCTTTTGGCCAGTAATATTACCCTGGAAGTTGAGCCTATGTCAGTTACAAATGGTCAAGTGTCAACTGGAAGTCAAAAATTTCTTGCATGACATGAAAACAACATCAAGTTCATCATCACACCAACGATGATGGAAGATTGAGGAAAAGAGATCAAAGAAGAGTTGAGTTTTAATTTTTTCTTACCTTGATAGGAATACCCTTGGACGAAAATAACAATCACTTGCCTCGTACGTACAACACAGTGAATTAAATAGATTTACTGTGCAACAATCCTTTTTCAAATGGCATGAGGTGGGGCAAAGATGAAATATTTATCACAGTATTGGAAATTACATCAACTACTTAATGTCTACCGTTCCGTTGGTACCACAGATTGGAAGTGTTATATTTTTAATCTGGCTGCCCGACAATATATTGTGTTGAATTAGATAGTGATCAAGTAGTTTTTTGACTCTACCGTATTAAACATTTGTTCCTGTAGACGACGCAAGGCGGTCGCTTATTATTAACTGGTCAACAACTGGGTATGTATGGGGATAGATAAATAAATAAAAGTAATTCAAATTCAATTACAAAATCTTATTAGACGAAGTGGCGGCGTGGCCGCGGCGACGAGATAAGCCTTATCTATCTTCCGTACCCACCAACTGTTGTCGTCATCTTGTTGATGTTTGCCAAAAGGATAAATAGCTTTTATTCATTTACAAGCGCACGATACAAATTTCTTTTGTTGACAACGCTTCCTGCCGTTTTCTCCTTTTTTAATCTCCATTTTCTGTGGGATTATCCCAAGTACAGCATGTTTGTCAGAATATTTGCAGACACAACAAACAATAAAATAATTTATGCGACTACTCAATGCTGATATTAGGTCCGAAGGCTGAGCTACATTTACAGCACACTGAGTAGTGGGCTTACTCGATCAGCACGTTTCACTCGTTTTGATTTTCTCTCAATCAAATTGATGACGGCTGTACCTTGCATGGATGGGATTTAAAATAATTAATCCATACAGTGTATGAGCTACGTACGTAAGTACACTTTTGATAATCCCTAAAGTTCAAGCTATACCCAATCTATTATGTTACACACGGATAATGATGATTACCATGTAAATAAAGCGATATTTAGACGTATTTACGCTTTGATGCAGTCATAATAATGTATCAAAGACGTAAATTGATCAAATTAAAAAAAAAAATGTCTACAGTATACCCCCATGACACGTGGTCTGCACGTCTGTACATCTGTGAGAAAGAGAGAGAGAATAGAATTGAATATACCCTAGGGTCTTGGATAACATAGAAAGAGAAAAAGGAAAAAGGAAATGAATGACGGACGCGATCATATCCAATTAAAAACTAGAACCCAATATAAATTTGGTAATTTAATAACCGTCATGAAAAAATTAGCAAATTGATTGGGACACTGGTTATTAACTTGAGTAATCAGGATAGATAACATCTCTCAGTAATTAATTTTCCTTTTACGTAATGCCCAACAACTCGATACGGCAATGGCGTATAAATTAATTATTGTTATTTGTAGTCAGCCGCGTTCACAACAGTACTGTACGGAATGTGCGCATTGCGCTCAAGCAAATCAGTTTACTCAGCTGCAAATCTTAAATATTGTTTAATGTTGACTGTGTAGATTCAGATCAGGCTTAACAGATGTGGATTGCGAGCAACTTTTCTATCAAACGTTTCAACTCAAAAAGGGTAGACAATGATGGCGTTACAACTTTTCCATTAGTGTGCGAGTAGCAATAATATAGTACTATACAAAGTATCATGGCGAAGGCTCCCGACTCCGTCAATAGCCATTGATAATAATTAATTATATTGAAGAATAAAAGCGGTTATCCTATATTAGTCACAGACTATCATCATTATTAGCAGATCTAGACGAGAACAAATTAAACTACACATCGTACTTTATGGCTAATGAAAAAATAGATACGCCTATGCATCTCTACCAACGGCAGTAATATTATTTATGCATGATACATTTCCATCAGATATTAAGACAACATTTTATGCGGTCGAGTACAGTATTTCATGTTTTTTTTATTTTGTACGTGCTGCATTTCTGCCCTCCCTATATACCATTATTATTATGCTTACATAAAGAGGGGGGAGTTATTACGCTGTAAATTACTTGAGATAAAAATAGCCGCATTATCGTTCCTATTATTGATGGATTTATAGGCTTCCAATAATTACATCAATTACTGTACTGTACTGCAAGAATTATTAATAGCAACGTCATAAGAATAGCAATTGACTCCGCATCCAACGACAATGTCTCCAGTAATTGACTATGGTGTTCATATAACCGATTTTTAGCCAAGCCCAAAATTGCTAGACTTGAAGCTAAGACTTGTACAATTCATATTTGTTATTATTATTATTTCTCTGCTGGAAACTACATTGTACAGTATATTATTTTATTTAAAAAAATAATAAGTGTATTCTTTTTATTTCATTACATCTCATTCCTGTATTGCCTTGTGACCTTTGTCTCCCACTCTGTGTCCATTTCTCATTGAACATGTACTATACCCTTGTAAAAGCTAACATGTTATCAGATTCCAAGGGGTAATAGATACATTTTTTTTACTGCAGACCTATAGTCTCATTTTACATATTTGCATCCTTATTTTATACCTAATATTATTATTATTATTTATTATACGAGTAATGAATACACAGATGTAATACTTTAGCTTTACACTATTACAATTTTATGAACAACACAAATAAAACAGAATTAAAAAATAAATTTACATTATGTAACATATATAT